GCTTCCAGGCCGTCTCCTCTTCCCGCAACTAGAGATTTTGCAGGGTGTTGCGCAGTGAGAGGAAGTAGACAAGCTGGAGCGATGGGCTTGCAACAGCCTGTGCCTGACAGTCCCTGGGACTGTCAGGTGCAGGACCCCGGATGAAGCAGGCACGTGACTTGGAGCCTTAAAAAGGTTAAATGGCTACACCCCTGGCACCACCCCCAGCCCAGCCAGGCATGGTTCTGAGCAGCAGGGGCCATGTTGGTTTTTCTGCCCCAGGTTCTGTGCCATGACAAGTTTGTGTCCTTCCAAGGAAACCATCTCTCCCAGATCTGCTGTCCTTTCTGGTTGCCCCACGGCAACAAGGAATGTTGCTCATGTGGCTCTCAGCTGTTGGTCTCAGCTGGACGTGCTTGCCTGTTCGTGTGTGTGTGTATCTTCGCTGGAGTCGCAGGCACTCACGCCTGAGTGGGAGACCTGGCCCGTGCCCTGTCCCAGAGGCAGGCTGTTTTGCTAAGGAGGCGAGGGAGGAGGAAACCCATTTTGACCCCACTGTAATGAATGGACGTTGTGGTCTCTCTCCAGTGACAGTGAACAAGAAGCCAGTGAGGGGCTGGCTTGGTACACTGTGTTTTGTTCACCTTGAGCAGTCAGATCCTGGACCAAGGTCACCCTGGGCGTCCAGCTAGTGAAGGTCTGGGCGGGGTTCAGATGCTGGTCTCACTCGTTGGCTGGTCTCTCTGATTCACCGGGCACCAAAGCAACCACAGAGGCTAGCACATTGTAAGGCCATTTAAAATTAAAAAGTCAGGAAATGACTGGAATAGTTCAAGCATATTTCTTTGGTTAACTTATTTTAAAGTTTTCTTCTCTTCTGTATCTTAGCAGCCTTTACAAGTTATCAAAGACAGACTCGGTTGTTTTGTTAAAGCCCCCAGCCTGGGCATTCTCAGCCAAAACTTAACAGCTTTCTGCCTGAGGAGGAGCTTGTAAAGTTTTCTGGGTTTTGAATTTGGAAATGTGTCCTTGATGCAGGCTTTTGCTGGGAGATGGACGCGAGGCCGTGGATTGCTAACAGCTCGCTCTGTCGGAGGTCTCTTGTGCTCCTGGTTCCCCCCGTCACACCAGTGTCACACTAGTGTCTTAGCGGGCTGTGCTGGTTTTGGGTGGATCTCCAAGGCGGCCTTCTCACCTCCCCTTGTTTCCTCCTCACCGTTTTGACATTAGCTACTCCTTCCCCAGTCGCTCCTTCCAGGAACTGTAAGAATTTACCTTCTTGTTTTTATAGCAATGCAATTCTGCTGTAAATACAGTTTTGAAACCTTTATTTTAAAAATGTAAAGAAAATGTCACTTTCACTTCCCATTACTGTTAAATCTTTTTATTTATTGTTTCAGTTGGCTACAGAATCCTACCCTTAGGGTGTGACATAACATTTGGCCTGTCAAGTTACTGGACATTGTTTAAAAAAGAAAAAAAGAGATCTGTTTGAATGGCAGAGTGATAGAGTGAGAGCTCATTAAACTCTCCCACCATGTTTGGGCCTGGCCGAAGCCAGGAGCCAAAGGCTCCATCTGGGTCTCCCATGTTGGGTCATCCCCCGCTGCTTGTCCAAGCACGTTTGAAGTGAGTTGAAGGGGAAGCAGAGTAGCCGGGATGCAAACCAGCACTCCAATGTAAGATGCGGGTGCTGCAAGCAGTACCAAAAGTCCACTTCTGTTCCAGCTTTATTTCTCTCCGCAAGCTTCCTGTGGAATGCCCTTGTGATAAGCAAGAGCCTCAGTCCAGGTTTGCTCAAAGCCGGGGGCAGCCTCAGATGGCGATGCCAGTGTGGGTGGTGGTTGGAGACCCGGTAGGAATCAGGCTGCTCCTCCTCCCCCTTGTGCCCCAGCACACCCCTGGCCACGGAGCCAGACGCACTCCCAGGACTGTGGCGCTGCTAAGTGTGGCTCCCTGAATGGGCTACCAGATCTCTGTGTAAAGCCCTGAGGGCCGCCGAGTCCCCGCCACAGTGCAGCTGCTGAGAGGAAGTTCCCCTCTTGGCTGTGGTGAGGCGTGGCCAGGATGCTGTCAGTGCCTGCCTGGCGCAGACCTGCTCCCGTCCCAGCTCATCTGGGGAGTCCCGAGGGGGCTTTCAAAGAGATTCTCAAGTTCACGTTCCCCTTTCTGATTGAAACAACAAAAACGTGACGTCTGTTCCAAGTTGTCTGTGACTGACTTCTAGCCTCCAGCAGCTGTGGCCACTCTGGAATTTTGAGAACATTTTCTCTAAATTCTGCCACTCTGACTCGCTCCCAGGAAAACAAAACAACAAAACACAAGGCCCTGTGTGCAGCCGCCATGTGATGCGCCATCTTCTAGAAATTACTGCTGGGCCAGGCTAGCCTGGGAATCCTGTACCTCCTTGCAATTGCAGGCTGGAGTGGGTGGCAAAGAGGGGTTATCTGGGTAACCTCGGTGGACAGTGCATCAGCCCAATAAAATGCCTGGCTACCCAGCAAGTGCTCCAGCTCAGTTTTTGCCAGTGCACTTGAAGATATTTATCTTTCCTGTATTTTTTTTTAAAAGGCATTTGTAGTCCTGAGTAACTGGCTCAACCGCAGTGGTAGCCAGACTCTTCCATCCCAGCATGCAGAATAGCACACCAGCTCACTACGCAAAAACCCCTTTCCGCAGTGCTGTGTGTGCAGGACAAGGACGGGGCCCTGAGCTACCAAGGCTGCAGCCGTGGCTCGATGGACCACAGCGCTGTAGGAGGCCCTGGTACAGCAGGTGTGAGAGCGTGAGCCACAGCAGTGTCAGGGACTGAGTGCCCGGTGGCTCGTGTTTATATGTACCCGCCTACTTGCACACATGTACCCACAGGTGCTGTGTGAAGCCATTCAGATCTCTGTTGCAGCACTGAAGTTACCAAAAAAAAATTCCATAAGAATCATACCTTGGAAATCCAGAGGGAACCTCCCTTCATCCTCCAGGGGCAGGCCAAAACAGGTGCCTGGGGTATGGTAGGGCCTGCCCTGGGCTTCTCTGTGTTCCTAACAATGTGATAAATGTGGAAACCATCAGCGATTGAAACAGGTAGGAGAGTGTGACATTGGACGCACGAGAGGAACAGATGGCCGTGGCAGGTGGCCGCTTCAGAGCACACACCACAGTTTGTGTGTTAGGAGGCGGGGTGTTGAAGGTAGCTGGAGATTAACATTTCAGGGGCTGGCCGAAGAGAGTGACCCGTAAGGGCATTGTCAGCTACGGAAGCCAAAGCATACAACCCAGGAGGGAGGTGAGGGGCAGCCAGGAGACCCTGCAGGGAGACCAGAGTGGGCAGCAGGCTCAGACACCTGCTGGCCAGTCCGCCAGAGGAACTCCCGAGAATGCGGAAGGCCTATTGGGAATTCTGAGACCGCTGGCCGCCCTCATGCAGGAAGTGCTGGTGCAGGAATAGGGAAGAGGAGAGAGGAGGCCCCTCGGCTCCGGGGATGCTCGCCCACCCCACCCCGCCAGGCTCACTCTGAGGTTTGCAGAGAAGGGAAGAAGGCCAGGAAGCTAGCATGTGTGCATGAGGCAAGCCTGCAAGCACACAGTCCGGGAACAGTGAGAGGAGAAAACGGATTCTTCTGCCACCCCTGGGGACGGGACCAGGCTGCTCGCACCTCTCGTTCCGTGAGCTTCCTGGCCTGTGGATCTTCAGTTTCCGTAATGTTGGCTCAGCACAGCAAAACTACAGCGAAGGCACAGCCAGCCACACCGAGTGTGCTGGAACGCGGCCACCTCCCTGCTGTGTTTCTGCAGCGACTTTGCCAGCTCACCCAGGGACCGAGCAGTGCCTGCACCTGGCGGGCGTGGGTTTCCGCCCCATGTGGACCTCAGATGGTGTAAGCAGCCTGCAGTGCGGTTGGCCAGGTCACCCAAAGCACCATGCGAGCACAGGGCCCTGTGGACAGCAGCACAGCAGGCGCCTGTGGTTGTAGGCGAGGTCAGCGCTTACGTTGTTGTGGTGGCTGTAGGGCCAGTCCTGCAGCTTCTAGGTGTGTGCTTAATCAAAACAAGAATTACAAGAAACAAGTTTCTAAATTTTAGTATTGTTTTATTTTTAGAAGAAAAGCCATAATATGAACTACTAAATACATAGCCACACAAATCCTATGAACAGGAGAAGGTGTTGTGGTGCAGCAAGTTAGGCCAGCACTTGCAGCACCCGCATCCCACATCAGGGTGCTGCTTGGGGTCTCTGCTGCTCCCCTCTCTGCTCCCCTGCCTGGGGAGACAACAGGCGTGACTTCCACGTGGGAGGCCAGAATGGAATTGCAGGCTCCTGGCTGTGGCCTGGCTCAACCCTGGCCGTTGTGGCTTTTGGGGAGGAAGGCAGCACAGCGGAGTTTATCCTACCCTCCCTCCTTCCCTTGTCCTCCTGCTATATCTACTGCTTCTTAAAAGGTGATTTAGGGGGACAAAGAAAAAAAAAAGGTTAAACGCATGCATATACGACAGCTTCCAAAAAGCCTGTGGAAATGTACACGCTAAGGGCTTTCAGAACACTGTATGTCAAAATAAGTATCTTTAAATTCTGTTTTCAACAAACTTTTTGAAGAGCCTTCATATCCTTAAAAATAAACATGGTGGGGAATTTCCGTGGGAAGTCCCACCTAAGACCTGTGGCCACAGGTCACAAGTCAGAGACCCCCCTGGGGAATTCAGTGGAAACATTTATGGATTCCTATTCCCTCCTAAATATATATACCCAAACACATGCAGACACACAGCCATCGCTCGCTCCGTCTCTGTCACACACACACACGTAGCCATCTTGGACCATAAACGTGCTTTGGTACAGGTGTAGACACAGAGTGCCTGAAAAGTGCCTGTCACACAGCCTGTGGGGCTTCCATCAGACGCAGCACTTCCTTAGCTAAAGTCCGTTCAAGTTCAGAACCTCCCCGCCCTGACACACTTGCCAGGGATGGTCCCCTGGGGCTGTGCCAGGCTTGAGTTTGTGACAAGGTTCTGCTTTGTGCCCCAAGGCCCGGCAGCAAGCGCAACTGCGGCACCAGATGGCTGAGGACAGCAAAGCAGACTACTCGTCGATTCTTCAGAAATTCAACCAGGAGCAGCACGAGTACTACCACAGCCACATCCCTAACATCTTCCAGGTGAGGCCCCCGGCTTGTGGGGGGCAGCCTCTCCCGTGCCCAAGCGCGTGGCGAACGCCGTGCTGAACGCCTGGGGCCACCGTGTGGTATCCCAGCCTTCCCGCCTGTGTGGCATGTGGGAGAGTTAAACACAGCACTCACCTGCAGTCCATAGTTGAGCTGCATCCCTGCTTTGCGCCTGTCACTACGTGCCCACCAGGTGTAGAACTGTGGTCCTTGGCCAGGGCTGTCTGGCCTGAAGCACCGTGCAGGTGGCAGGAATTGTCACTTAACCTGAAGGAGACCAAGCTGTCACTGGAAGAGATTCACAGGAATATGGAATTAAAAGAGGTGTTAATTTTTGGTGTGAAAAATAGTGAGGTCCACATGTAGTTTTCAAAAATGTGCATTTGTCCGTGAGCTTTTTGAATGCCGCTTTAATACAGGGATTTCAGGTTTTTGTACCAAACTGTTTCAGAGCTAGCCTTGCATATGTTCTCCCCACTTGGGGGTCCCTGACACAGTTGAATCCATTTTAGAAAATGACGGAAGGTCGCTGACTGTGGCTCAGCCTGAGTTGAGCTGGAACAGCCTGATCCTGTGCTTTGGGAAAAGGGCCGAAAGAATGGGCTGAGGCAGTGACCGACGACTGCTACTGTGGAGCTCCGGGGGCGGGGGGGGGGGGACCCCTCTTCTAGGGGTGGAGTGGAGGCGTGTAAGGCATGCCCCTGGGCGGCCCAGCCGTTGCCCACCTCCGCACTTGGCTGGCTTGGCAAGTTCTGCACTGAGCTCGGGAGCAGCTTCTTTTGAGAGGAGGGCAATGCGTGTATCTAACGCAGACTTGGGCTTTGGCAGAAAATCCAGGAGATGGAGGAGAGGAGGATCCTGCGGCTTGGGGAGTCCATGAAGATGTACGCGGAGGTGGACCGGCAGGTGATCCCCATCATCGGCAAGTGCTTGGATGGCATCGTGAAGGCGGCCGAGTCCATCGACCAGAAAAATGCAAGTACCAGCCAAGGCGTGGCAGGGACCAGCGCTCGGGGCTGCACTGCCATCCTGCCTGCGCCTCCCCTCCCGCTGTGACCACCTGCTGTGGCACATTGCCGCTGGATGCCAGTTCCACTGGGGCTTGGCTGCAGTGGCAGCTCTTGGATTTAGCTCTTAATGCCTTTTGCATAAAAACAGATTTAGGTGGCAATTTATTTCAAAGGCTGAGAGACACAGAGATCACCCATCCTCTGGTTCATTTCCTAAGTGGCTACAGTGTCCAGAGGTGGATCATTCCAGAGCCAGTAACCAGGAACTTTATTGGGATCACCCATGTGAGTGCAGGGGTCCAAGCCTTTGGTTCTTCAAACCAGCACCCTCATGGGCTGCTGGCATTGCAGGCAGCAGCCTGGCCAGTGTGTCACAGTGCTGGTCCCTGAGTGTTTTCTTGTCTGTTGGCTGAGTAACTTGTCTACTTGAGAGCTGACAGAATCTTTGTTCCGTGCCTAACACAGTGGCTCAGCTGGCTCATTCTCTACCTGGATGTTCCAACATTCATATGGGCACCAGTTTGTGTCCCAGCTGCTTCACTTTCCCATCCAGCTCCCTGTGTATGGCCCAATCCTTGGGACCCTGTACACACATGGGAGACCCGAAAGAAGGTCCTGGCTCCCGGCTTCAGATCAGCTCTGGCCATTGCGGGTATCTAGGAAATGAACCAGCAGATGGAAGATTTTTCTCCTCTTCATAAATCTGCTTTTTGAATAAAAATGAAGATTTCATTCCTCCGAACAGGCTAGCTTTGGGCCGTTATTGACATCCTGACTCAGACATTGGCAGGGGCCGGCAGCAGAGGTTGTCCTGTGCACTGTGGGGTGTTAGCAACACCCCCTGCTGCTATCCACCAGATTCCAGCCACTCTCCCCATGTGGTTGTCCGTGGAAAGTATCTCCCCTGTATTGGTGCCTGGTCCAGTCCTGGCTCCTCCACTTCCCATCCAGCTTCCTGCTGATGTTCCTGCCCTGTGGCAGGCTGCAGTTGATGGCTCCAGGACGTGGGTCCCTGCCACCCACATGGAATCCCTGGAAGGAGCTCAGCATCCTTACTTGTGTCTGACTGTTGTCAGCACTTGGAGAGTGAACTGGTGCATGGACAACCCCCCTCCCACCCCATGCCTTCCATACCCATTGGCTGTGTGTGGAAGTGCTGTCCCGTCCGCCCCATGTGCACACTCAGCCTCTCTGCTCAGCACCAGCTCCTCTGGTTCTCAGCCAGCAGATGTTTCCTTTTCTTTCTTTCTTTTTTTTTTTTTTTGGTGATGTGACTTGAAGATTCCTTGCTCCCTGCTTCATTCAGGTTTATGCAGATTCGCTCAGCGTCTCTTTCTTCAGTGATTTCTGGGGAAAACAAAAAGACACACACACACACACATCTATCTATGTCTGTTGGTTCACTCCCCAGTTGGCCACAGCAGATGGGGCTGGGCCAGGCTGACACCAGGAAGGGCCCAGAACCCCAAGCAGGCGTTCCATGTGCATACTTGGGCTGTCACACCTGCTGCCTCCCTGAGCGTTAGCAGGAAGCTGAGCTCGGCAGTGGAGCAGGGGCTGGAACCTCAAGCCACCTCAACTTCATGCCACTTGAGCCCCAGGAGCAAGTCCCTGGTGCTTCCTCCTGCCCACACATTTCTGCCAGCGTGAATCCAACCACCCTCTGCCTGGGTTATCGGGGGCATCTCAGGAGAAACCACCTCCCAGGCCTGCTTCTGTTCACCCTGCTTACTAAGGGAAGGGGATTGTCTGTGAAGGGTCTCTCCTCCCACCAGTCTGTTGTTTTCTCCTTTCTTGATTATTGTTGGCTTATTTTGAATGAACACACGCCCCACATCGCAGCACCTTCCCTCTGGCTGCCAACCCCCCCGCTTCCCAGCAGTGCACGCCAGGGGAGGCGGCAGGGACACTGGCTTCCCATATTCCAGCTCCACCCCTGGTCCCTGCCTGTGTGTGCTCTGGGAGGCGGCACACAGTAGCTCAAGTACTTGGACTCCAGACACACCTTTGGGAGACCTGGATGGAGTTGACTCTGGCCTTGGCCTGGCCCAGTCCTGGTTGTCGCGGCATCTGTGGAGTAAACCAGCAGATAAATGATCTCTCTTGTACCTCTCTGCCTTTCAAATAAATAAAAATGAAATACATTTTAAGAACTTTAAAAAGAAGGTTTATATATTTATTTGAAAGTCAGATTTATGGGGGTGAGGAGGTATTTGGGAGAAAGTGAATCTTCCATCTCTCTGATCTTCCATCACTCCCCAGATGGCCACAACAGCCAGGGCTAGCCCGGGCCACCGCCAGGAGCCTGGGACTCCATCTGGGTCTCCACTTGGGCCAGCCTCTGCTGCGTTCCCAGGCGCATTGGCAGGGAGCTGGACAGGATGTGGAGTGGTTGGGACTCACTGGCATTCATGTGGGATGCAAGCATCACAAGTCTACGAAGGCAGCAAGCTTTCTGCATCGCTCAGTGTCCAAGGGAGCTGCATCATCAAAAACTGATTTTCAAAAACCAATACCTCTTCTCCCAGATGTTAGGAAAATGAGCAGATATTTCCAGGAAAAATACCCACTCCTCATGGAGAGGGTTCACGTGGACTGTTGGCCAGGCGGGGCTGTGGGTGGAGGTCTATCCTTTAGAAGTGCCCGCAGGCCTTTGAGCGTCTGCGTGTTTGTGGCTCTGATTTCAGGACTCCCAGCTGGTCATAGAAGCCTTTAAGTCGGGGTTCGAGCCCCCAGGGGACATCGACTTTGAAGACTACTCGCAGCCAATGCAGCGTGCTGTGTCCGACCACAGCCTGTCCAGCTCCCGGGGGGATGGCAAGCCAGAGCCCAAGTTTGGTGGCCGATCCAAGGGGAAGCTGTGGCCGTTCATCAAGAAAAACAAGGTACTGAGGCCCAGGGTGCGGTGCGTGGACTCGGTGCCCAGATCGCCGGCCAGCCCGCCGGCTCAGTCTGGTCAAGACTTGGACTGGAAGCCTCTGGTGGCGCTGCCGACCTGGCACATGTGTGCTGTTGTGTGGTGGCGGTGGTGGTGGCGTGTGGTGGCAATGGTGGCGGTGGTGGCGGTGGTGGTATCTTTGCCATGGCCTGTGTCTTGCGTCAGAGGCATTCTCACCTGTCCCATGTCACCCACACTAACGGCTGACTCACCCTGTGGTGGGTGCCACCTCTCACCTTTCACCCCTGACCCCCTCTCCCCCCGCACCATAGACGGTTGGCTGCTTCGGCCGTCCAGGAGAGGGGGAGAGGGCACGACCTTCCCGTAACCGCTGCGCTAATCGCCCCAGTGGCTGTGTTAACAGCGCGTGGATCTGAACTCATGCTAACACGCGTGTCCGTGCACACCTGTCCTTCGGTTTTCCATGACAGGGCCCACAGGTGCATGCCGGCGGCTCCTGCTTTAACTGTGGAGCGGGAGTTACTGTTTCCTTGGCCAGGGCTGTTTCGCTGTTATCACAACCTCCCTCCCTGCAGTCACCCATTTGCTCCCATCCAGCCCCTGTTGGTTGGGACCGTGCAGTGAGGTCTAACCGCATGGCTTGTGTGACGCTGCACGCGGACGGCTGCATGCGCTCGCCCCTTTCCCGCCCCTCCTACCCCACGCCGCATCTCGCCCTGTCTTCCGTGTTTGCATTTCAACCATGGCCTGTATGTATTTACTTGTGTTTTGTTTTGTTTTACTTGCTTTGGGTTTCCAATATGAGTTGATGCTTATTTTTGTTTTGTGTCTTCTTGTTTCTGGTTTTGACTCTGTCACTGCTCCGCCTCTTACACGTAGCTTGTGTCCCTTTTAACGTCCCCCCATCAGCCTCCCCCTCCTCCCCCTGCCTCTGCCTCGCCCTCTGCTCTCCCCAACGGTCCCCAGTCTCCCAAGCAGCCAAAGGAACCCCTCTCCCATCGCTTCAACGAGTTCATGATCTCCAAACCCAAAATCCACTGCTTCCGGAGCCTAAAGCGAGGGGTAAGTGCTGCGCCCTGCTCGGCCCCCAAGCCCATCTCGCACACCTGTTTCCTTGCACGGTCTGTCCTGCGTCACTTGTCTCGTGCTGTGAATGTGTTTTCCTATCCACGTGAGACAAGCAGAGTTTGGGATTGTCCTGGGAGGCACAAGGCACACAGCGAGTGGACGGGGGGCAGCCGTTGCTGGGGCGGCTGAGGGAAGCACAGCCAGAGGCCCACCCTTCCACTCTCCCTCCCCCCTGCGTTTTGAGCTAACTTTCCCCTACTTCCTATCGAGCATCCAAGTGGTTTTTGTGTTTTTTTTTTACCTTGATTTTAACAAAAAAGGAAGCTTAGATTCTGTTCCTAAAACCAACATGAGATGAGGAATTGGAAGCAACTGCATAGTCAGAAAACACGTGCTTGCTGAGCGCCTGAAGGAGCGGGGCTGTGGCGCAGGGCTGGACTCTGAGCCAGGCGGAGGGGAACCGTCCTGCCTCCCCTCCCGGTTTTACAGGATGATGCCATGTGGGTGAAGGCCCTGTTCCCTGAAGAAGGCCTGATGGATGCTTTCTGTTTTATTGGTTGATCTGTTGAAAGGTAGAATGACAGGGTATCAGCAAGCTTTGGTTTATTGCTTCACTTCCCCAAGTGCCTGGCAACAAGCAGGCCTGGGCCTAGCTAAAGCCTGGAGCCAGGAAGTCCACCCAGGTCTCCCACGAGTCCTCGGGCTGCCCTCCTGCTGCTTTCCCACTGGCAGTGGCAGAGAAGTGGATGGGAAGTAGAGCAGCTGGGGACTCGGACAGCACCCACCTATGAACGTGCTTGTCTTTGAAAGGGTAAAAGAAGTCACAGGGGCTCTGTCCCATGCTTGCCCTTAATTTTTCAGCCATCCTGTGAAAGCCAGGAGCTGATCTCTCCCCATTTTACCTCCAAAGCGTGACCACACAGGGTCTAAAGCTGAGACTGTGTCCTCCATATTCAGAGTGCAGGCAGTGCCGGGGGCCTGGGCTCTCAGTGGCTGTAAGCCAGGCCCTCGTGGGCCATCCGGTCAGGTGCCGCCTGTGCTGGCCGCAGGGGTTGGCAGTCATGGCATCCGTTCCCTGCAGATGCCAGTTTGTTCTGCAGGAAAGGGAGGGACTGGCATAGGTAGCAGCCTCCTGAGTTGTTCTGCACGGTCAATCTCACCCGGCACCTGTGGCTGTGAACACTGACTTCTGACCCCTGGCACCTTAGCAGAACCAGCAGGGTTTATAAACATTTCCCCGTGGGAGTTGTAATGGTTGTGGAGAAACGCTTATGTTTTTTTCTTCCCCTGGGGTCGCCCAGCCTGAGCGTTGGGTACAGTGCCTGATAGTTGCCAGTTGAGTGTCAGCTGACATCATGGGCCTGGGAAGAATGTGTGACCCTAAGTCACAAACCTGATGAGAGATGTCCTTCCTGGAGCTAGTTCCTGCTGAGAGCCAGGCAGCTGGCACTGCTAGCCGGACCCTCTGCCTCAACAGGATGGCAGCCACTTGGCTGTGGCAAAAAGGCTGGAGGTGTCAGGGTGATGAGCAGCCTGGGCCCTGCCCCGGCATGCTGGCCCCTCTCCGGCCCCCTGCCTGCCTCGGGGTCAGGGCTGGCTCTCCCTCCAGTGTACAGTTGCTACAGAAGCGGGTGGTAGCTTGTGCCAGGCTTGCTGAGGGACCTGGGACTTGCTGGCGCAGCAGGGCTTGCGTTTTTGGCCTCTGTTCCTTGCCCCTCCAGGAGCATCTAAGCCACATGTCTGTGCCCCGGGGCCCTGCCCAGTCCTCAGTCGGTCACTGTGTCCACAGGGAAGGTCTGTGCATTTGTCTTCTGGATTTTCACGGTCAGTCTGTCGCATACTTGTGACTGTCTCCCTGCCTTTCGGTGCATCTCCTCCGTTCTGTCGCCGTCACACACCGCTTGCCGGTGGCAAGTGATTTCTCAGTCTCTGTCTCGTGTTAATCCCTTCGATGTTGAGAGTAAGACCGGAAAGGTCACCACTCAGTAAGTGTAAGAAGAAGGTGGCTGGGGGAAGAAAAAGGAAATGAGAAACTGGGTATTCTGAAGAATTAAAGGAAAATGAAAACCCTAATCAGCAGAGCCATTTTGATTTTATACCTCTGCTCTGGGCTCAGCAACACCTGCGCTAACTCACCGAGCCCCCACTGCCTGCATTTGTGAAGAAACAGGTGTGTGGCGGCCTGCATTGGGGGTGGGGGACAGGCTGTTTTTTGTTAGGGTCAGATTGGATGAAGAAATCATAAGAGCATCATGGCATGGGGTTAGCCGGCCTGAGAGCCAGCCCGAGATTGGCCTGACTTCCAAGCCACCACACAGTATAGGCTTGGGGGGGCTGGGGCACCCAAGGGCTCCTTCGGGGCTTGTTAGGTCTCTCATAGGCCATGCAAAGCTGTCAGCTTAAAAATGAGCCTGCTCTAGACTTGTTGAACTACCAGTCCCACCCTGCTGCAGGCCCCTCGACCCAGGGACAGGTCCTCCATCTGCTGCTTCACTCTCCAGATGGCTATACTGGCCAGCACTACGCCAAGCTGGGGCTTCATCCAGATCCCTCAAACGTTAGGGCCATCCTTCACTGCTTTCCCAGGCACATCAGCAGGGAGCCAGATCAGAAGCAAAACAGTGGGGGCTCGAACCTGTGCCCATATGGGATGCTGGTGTGCTGGCAGAAGCTCTCTCCACTGTGCCAGAATGCCGGCCCCCCGATTCAGGTTTCAGTAATTTGTTCCCACTTCTCCGAGTGCAGACATCCTGATCAAGCCCCGGCTCCCATAATGTATTTTGTTTCTAAGGACTGCAGCAGGGTGAGCTGTTTCTTGTTATGAGCTGTTTAACATATGTAAGAAAATTGTGTGCTCCCAAGCATCTGTAACAAATCAGCCCAAGAGATTGAGTATACCCACCGAGGGCCAGGGTCATGGCCGTGTCTAAATCCTTGCCTTGCATGTGCCAGGACCCCGTATGTGTGCTGGTTTGTGTCCCGGCTGCTCCACTTCCCTTCCAGCTCCCTACTTGTGGCCTGGGAAAGCAATCAAGGATGGCCCAAAGCCTTGGGACCCTGCACCCTGGAGGAAGCTCCTGGCTCCTGGCTTCAGCTTAGCTTGGCTCCTACCATTGGGAAGTAAACCCACAGATGGAAGATCTTTCTGTCTCTCCTCTCTGTAAATCTGCCTATCCCATAAAGTAAATCTTTAAAGAAAAGAAAATATCCAGGGAGTGCTTGGCAGCTGCCAGGCAGCCTTAACATCCTATCTCTTCTGTCTCGTTCCCCTGCTGCTTTCTGGGCAGACACGGTCTCGGTGTTTCCACAGAGAGCTTGTGAAGAGGCCTCTGGGGCAGCCCACCTACGCCTTTGAGGCCAGGGACTACGTTGTAAGTCTGCCCACCTGTGACAGGCAGGTCCTGCCCTCGTGGCACAGCCGCTGAGCCCACCGAAGGCACCACGCCAGTGGACACAGGTGCACTCTGGCCATTCCTCCTTGAACCCCAGGGAGCGCTGGCTGCCGGGGAAGCGTCATGTGGAGCCCATGCCAGCCGTAGGGTGCTGCTTCTGAAAGCCATGTGTGGGCAAAGCAGCCAGGCTCTGGGCTGAGCCCCCCCATCTCAGCAGGGAGCTGAGCACTGCTGGAGGTGGAAGGGATGTGGCTTCTGTCCACGATGATGCTCTGTGTCACCTCATGGCCAAATTTCACCTGAAAACGCAGCTGGCAGCTGAGCAGTGCGTGGGTGCCCGCGCCCCTCCCTGTCCCCTCTCTCTGTAGTTGAGGTTAGCACCTGTGATCGGCTGACACCCCGTGGCCATACTGGCTCTGGGCTCCTGCATGCATTTCCAGTGCCCGTGGCTTTCACAGCTCTCCTCCCCCGACCCACGTTGGCTGCTTTAAGAGTCTTCCATGTGGCTAGCAGTGTCTTGCGTCCACCCCATGATTAGCTTCCTGGTTTTCCAAGATCCGACTGGCCGACTTCAGCCTGGAAACCAGTATCTAATCATTGAGAGTTCCTCAAGCTGCCACCGCTCGCTATCTAAGCTGGCTGTCCCCATCAGCCCCACAAAGCTGACTTGTTGCAGGTTCAGGCGTCCCCACTTCCTGGGCCACATCCTGCCGTGACGCCATGACACAGAGCTTCAGGACGCACTGAGCAGAGAGGCAGTCCTGGGATTGGCTCTGTGAGCTAGCCCAGTGCGGGCAACAGGCATGAGAGCGCCGTGGGTGGCAGTGTGCTTTGTAGGGGCAGTGGTGGTGTCTGTGTGCGTGATAAGCTCACATCGAGACATGTGGGTCTATGCAGAAGTTCACAGGAGGGCTCGCGTCTGCGGTGCCCGCAACAGAAATGTCCAGAACACGGCGGCACAGACTTTGCTCCCCCTACCACCAAAAGTGTTTACTGAGTCAGTTGTAAGAATTCAAATTTTTTATTCTGGCAAAGGGATTTTTAAAGAAACATTTATTTATTTGAAATTCAGAGAGAGACAGGGAGAAGTAGAGAAAGAGAGATCTTTTATCCCCTGGGTTCCTCTCCAAAAGGCCACAATGGCCAGGGCTATGTCAGACCAAAGCCAGGAGCCAGGAACTCCATCAGGGTCCCCCACATGGGTTCAGGGGCCCAAGCACTTGGGCCATCTTCCACTGCTTTCCCAGGTGCAGTAGCAAAGAGCTGGATGGGAAGTGGAGCAGCTCGGACCCAAATAAGCACTCTTATGGGATGCAGATGCAGCAGATGGTGGCTTACCCTGTGGCACCACAGCACCGGTCCCTCCACCCAGAGTGCTGTCTCAAGTATTCTTGGACCATACCTTCGAGTGCCTTAAGATAGAAGGCTAAGTGCCAAACACTAGAATTGAAACCCACAGGGTGCAGCCCTCATCCCTTCCCCTCGCACTCCCCCTCGGTCCCTTCTGGCTTATTTTCGCCAGTTTGGGGCCCGGCAGGATGGCATGAGCAGTTCTCAGGTGTCACCTGAGGCAGCCGGTGAGTGGGCAGTTCAGGTGTGTCCTGTGTAACAGCCCCCACGATGAACGTGCTGAAGCAAAGACTGTGCAGGGCGTGTTGGGCCTGTCGCATCCTCGTGGCGCCTGGCTGACTGCAGACCAGCTTCTGTGTGCCGCTGGGGGACCGAGGCTGCCTTGTGGCAGCAGCGCTGCCTCTCCATGCTCACACCTGCTCCGGTGGCCGGGCGTGGACGCCTGCGAAGGCTGCATCAGGGCCCAGCCCCTCTTGTGAACTTCGGCGCTGACGTGCACTCCGCACCGTCACCGGCAGGCGGCAGGTGGATGGATGCGGGTCAGTAATGTGGAGAGCCAACCAATTGCCTCTCCTTCTGACGTGTTTCTCTCTCTCTCTCCCTCCTTTTCTTCCTCTCTCTCTCTTCCCTGTTCCTTCTCCAATTTCCCCCACGAAGCTCTCTCTCAAGCTGGTAAGCACGCCCATGCCCTGCATGTCTGGGTCCGCTCTGGGTTTGTGGGGTATAATTGTGGCTGCCACGCTAAGCCTTGGTCCGAGCATTGACTGTCCATGTGTTTCTCCCTGCCTGTGCTTTGTTGGGCTCTCTTTATAAGAGAGACCTCCTGGGATACAAAGATCAGAATCTTCTAGAGGGGACCTTAATCTTTCAAGTGGCTCAAAAAATTTAACGCCTAGCTCATGATCCTTTGGGACCCTTGAGTGGATGCCAGAGGCTGGGGGAGCTGTTTACGGGTCTCAATGAGCCCAAGTCACTGTAAGAGACGAAAACTTGTGGGAGGCATGGAAGTTCCCAGAGGGCGGGCAGCACCTGCTGGAGACCGGCAGGAATGTCCCGGCCTTCAGCCGCATGCCAGCGGACAGGCAAGCCCTGTGGCCACCCACAGGTGACACGGGGACCAGTCTGTGCCTCATGCTGGGCAGCGGGAAGATCCCTTCCCCTCCTCCCCGCCCTGAATGTTTTCAGAATTCTGAAATCCCTGTGCTGTCCCTGCTTAACCCGTAGCCCTGGTGAACAAACTAATAACTAAGTGTGTTCAAAGATCCACTTAACCGACGGAGCCCAAAACCCTGGGCTGTGAGCAAGAGCCGAAGGCGGGGCCCCTCCAGCCAGCCAGGGCCTGCGGGGCGCCATGCATGGTGGCCCAAGACAGGGTCTTAAACTGTTGGTATAGTGATGCGGAGGGAACTTCCAGAAGATTCATGGCAAATGCCTATCATGAAAAACTCCATGCACAGGTTTTAGTGATTTTGCATTACAGCAAATGCATCTTTAATTCTGTTTTTCCACAAAGGTTTTGAAATACTCTAATGAATGTGCATGCGTGTGTGTACATACAGTTTTTTATCCTATAACCCACTTCTTAGAAAAAAAACATCCTTTGAGAAATGAGCACTCCTGGGAGGGAGGCACAGTCCAGCTGTAGGGGCCTTCACAGTGTCCAGGCGAGGGCTGGGTGATGTCTGGCTAGACACCTGGGGAGACATATGAGTGCCAGGTTAGCACCCAGCACCCGGCAGGGAGCAGAAAGTTTTCAACCCGCTTATCACCATCACCTTTGAGGTGTCACACCAAAATGACCAAGGCAGAGGGAAAGGGGAGAAACAGACCCCGGCATTTCCCGGGGTCAGGGTGGGGGCTGGCACCTTCCTGGGGAGGCACCCTGAGCCAGCATTGGCACCCCGGCACCCTGCCCCTGCGTGAAGCAAGGCCAGCGCCCGACTCCTGCTTTCAGGCATGGCCAGGGCATGGCCGGCATAGCCAACTCTGACTCAGCACGGGACGTCCCGTGACCAAGGGGAGCAGGTGGCCTTCGTGGGTGAGTCCTCAGAGTGTCCTGGGGCCTGGAGTTGGCTCATGGCCCAGCTCCTGCAACGGCCTTAAAGCGACGATGTCTTTCCTAAGGGACTCACGTGGTCACTCACACTGACCGCTGGCCGGCGAGTGAGAAGTCACCTGCAGTTTAAAGGTCTGGGTTGCTGTCCATGTCGGCAGTCACGTCTCCTTCTGGAATGCTTTACCCCCTGAAGCAGCTCCACGCTTTCCACGTGTGCCTGTGCACATTTTAATCAGCTAAAAATGAAACCAACGCTAAACAAATTCAGTCCCTCAGTTGCAGTCACCACGTGGTCAAGGCTGCAGCCTCCCCTCATTCTAGAACATTCTGTGTGGCTTGCAGCATCATGGTGAAGCCCAGCAGACACACGAGGGTTCAACGCCGACCACTGTCAGCCTCCTGGAGCAGCGACTCTCATGTTGGGTTTTGTCGTGTCATGATTTTTAAAAGTGGAAATCTTCCAGCTCTAGAAAATGAGCTGACCTTCAAGCTGAAAGCAGAGGTGTTTTTTCCCAACTTATTCAGCAGCAAAGCAAGTTGACCAACAAGTGACAATGAACTTTCCAGGCCCCTGTAACCCCAAGGTCCCTGGGACAGGAAACTTGCTTATCTTTGTCCTGAGTGTTAGTTTTGCATCCTCTGGTTTTAGGATCAAATACAGCACCCTGGGCTTGGTGTGAGGAGCCATCTGGTCCTGCCTGAACTCCCCCTGCCCTGCCCAGGGAGGGAGTCTTAGGAGCCCAGAGAGCCAGACCTCTGGGGTGAGCTGAGCCTGGCACATCCTCTCCCGTCGAGGAGCACCAGCCAGATGCCCCCTCCCTTCCCCACCACTCACACACACCCACAAGGAGATGGCCAGCGTGCCAACACAAGGAGGGGTCCTGGGGAGGGGAAAGAAGGGCAGGTCGGTCTTCAGCAGCCGCGGGGTCTCGTCTCTGATGTAGAGAAAGATGACACACTCATCCTGGGACCCTGCACCTGCTGGCCCTCCCGGTGTGGATCTATCCCTGCTCCAAGTGGGTCCCTCGCATTGTCAGGGGTGATGGCAGGTGCAGGGAGTGGATGGGTGTGCGGGACTGGGGGTGACAGCAGGCTCAGGGAGTGGACGGCTGTGCGGGACTGGGGGTGACAGCAGGCTCAGGGAGTGGACGGGCGTGCGGGGCTGGGGGTGACGGCAGGGAGTGGACGGGTGTGCGGGACTGGGGGTGACAGCAGGGAGTGGACGGGTGTGTGGGACTGGGGGTGACGGCAGACGCAGGGAGTGGACGGGTGTGCGGGACTGGGGATGACGGCAGGGAGTGGACGGGTGTGTGGGACTGGCCAGGTTGCATGCCCTGATTTTTATTTCATTTTCTCCTCTGGGTGTGGCAGGAAGGAGCTTGATTGATTGGGTTCCCTGAGCCCCTCCCGCGACCCCTGTGGGCCCTTGGGGTGGGGGGCATGCCGACATCTCCCTGGCCCCTCACTTGGTCTGCATCTACAGGGTGCCACACCTGAGGACTTCAGCAACTTGCCGCCCGAGCAGCGTAGGAAGAAGCTGCAGCAGAAGGTGGACGAGCTCAACAAGGAAATGCAGAAAGAGGTGGACCAAAGGTAGAGTGGACCCAAAATCCAAGTTCAGGGCCTGGGAACGGGGTGGGGAGATGTGCTGTGCCTCCCGTGGGAGGATCACGTCCCCGAGGGGCTCCTCCCCAGCTCCTTGCTGAAGTGCCCAGGAGTGGGCAGGTGGGAGACCCTTGTGGATCCGTGGCTCCTGTGTGCTGCTGGCTCAGATCTGCCTGTCGCGGGCGTTTGCTGTAGAATTCACTTACTCAGGGTGTGGGAGGGGAGGTGGAAAAAAAAAGGCCGGACTATGCTTGACACTGGCCTAAAACCCACTGGCAGGTATGAGACTGGGTCTGGGAGTGGGTCAAGTAGAGGAACTTGGGAAACTCCCCTGGAGGGTCATAGCTCCCGCTGGGGTCAGACAAGCTGGGCAAAGTAGCTCCAATGGTTGGCTAATGTGTGGGTTGGTAACGGAACGGGGTAGACTGGGCAGAATCAATTTTAAAATAAACAGTTGGGATGGGAAGCCTAACAGATCCCAGGCTCGGCTCCTACAGAGACGAGTAAAGCTGACAGAACCTGTGTGCTTAAAAAGGGTCTAATTTCCCTTAAAGTTGGAAAGCGTGCCAACCATTGCCTAGCTCCCTATTCCCAGCCAGGACCAGGAAGCAGAAGCCAGCTCTCCTGCCCAGGGACGTGAGCCACCACCTGCTGCCTCCCAGGTGCACATTAGCAGGAAGGGGCGGAGTGAGGTCTCCTGCCCAGGCTCTCCAAAACAACTTGGTGCAAACACCAGACCCCGTGCGCTTCTGCAGGGATTGGTTGGGCCAGCTCGGGAGGAATCAAGAGGTTGGCAAACTTGTTTAGCACTCCTGCCATGTGGCAGGTCCCATCCCAAGCCACTGCCAAGGTACCCTCTGTTCCCTGCTCCAGTGGGAGGACGTGGGTAGCCGAGAACCGGGGTAAGGACAGGTGAGCCTCACAGGGCAGGGAAGCACCATGTGCTGTGCAGAGAGGAGGGCAGCTGGGTGTGGTCACAGGGCTTGGGTCTGCGTAGACATCAGGCTCAGAGCTGCCCAGGGTGCAGGGGAGGGGCAGACTTGGGCCCGGGTGCAAGGAAGCAGGCCTCTGCCTTCGAGTTCTGCATTCCGGCCACCTGCCACAGGACAACTGGCCTCTGGAGACTGGGTTTCAGCAACATCCCAGGAGGGCGTGGTGTTCCCCACGGAGCAGCTCCTGTCCGCCGTGGGGGCTTCTTCCTTTCTTTCTTTCCTTTCTTTTCTTCAGACTTATGTATTTATTTGACATAGTTACAGAGAGATCTTCCGATAGTTCCCTCCCAGATGGCCACAATGGCCAGGACCGGGCTAGGCCGGAGCCGGGAGTCTCATCCGCATCTGCTGCATGGTTGTGGGGACCCAAGGACCTGAGCTGTCTTCTGCTACTTTTCCCAAGCTGTTAATAGGGAGCTAGATTGGAAGTGGAGCAGTCCCCAGTGCTGTGGCATAGCAGGTAAACCATGACTCTGGCATCCCATATGAACACTGGTTCAAATCCCAGCTGCTCCACTTCCACTGCAGCTCCCTGCAAGTGTGCCTGGGAAGGCAGGGAAGGATCGCCCAAGGGCTTGGGTTCTGCACCCACTTGGGAGACCCTAAAGAAGCTCCTGGCTCCAGATCACTCCAGCTCTGACCATTGCCACCACCTGGGGAGTAAGCCAGTAAATAGATCTCTGTTTTTCTGTAATTTTCTCTTTCAAATAAATAATTCTTTTTTAAAAAGGGAAAGAAGCTGGGCAAGCAAGGACAGGACTGGGTGCTGCAGGTGGTGGCTCTGCTTGCTGTGCCACTGTTTGCTGCCAGCTAAGGCGGCATGGTGGGGTGCTAATGAGTCACCTTTCCTCTTGGAGCCCCAGGTGAGGCCCCAGCTCTTGGCTTTGTGGCTCCTGTCACTGGGGACAGAGTGGGGCACACGGTTCCTTGCTGTGTGTTGTGTGCTGAGCTCAGTGACAAGGGAACCTGGGTTGTGGGTACCTCGGTGGCTGAATTCTCCCGCGATATTACTGGGGTGGAGGCTGGGCCCACCAGCCCTGCCATTCCCGCCTCCTTGGGCAGTGCAGCGGCCATGGCCACTTCCACTCGCTGTTTCTCCAGGGACGCCATCACGAAGATGAAAGACGTCTACCTAAGGAACCCGCAGATGGGAGACCCAGCCAGCCTGGACCACAAACTGGCAGAAGTCAGCCATAACATTGAGAAATTGCGGCTGGAGACCCAGAAATTCGAGGTGGGGAAAGGCAGGCACTGGAGACAGAGGAGCTGAAAGGGGCATGAATGCCAGTCACTAGCAGGGCTGCCCCCCACCCTGCAGGGAGGGATGCTCAGCGGTACCTCTGCACTCATCCTAGCTGAGCTCTGCCCTCCTGCCTGCCCAGCTTAGCTGTCAAAGCGACAGTGCTGTCATGTTGATAGTGTGTGAGTGAGAGACAGAGAGGTCCCCCACCTGCTCACTCCCCACAGGTCTGCAGCAGCCAGGACTGAGCCGTGCTGAAGCCAGGAGCAGGGAGCCAGGACTGAGCCGTGCTGAAGCCAGGAGCAGGGAGCAGCCTTGTGGGAGGACTCGCTGGCACCTGCTGGCTCTCTGGCCCCAGGGGAATATTAGCAGGACTTGGGAGCACAGCCGGAGCCGTGACCAGGCCCTCCTGCAGAATCCTGCTTCATCTCGTGTTGGAGCTGTTTCACGTCTTGGCATAGCGACCTATGGCTCCCACATCCCACATGGATACCACCAGTTCAAGTCCCAGCCACTCCACTTGTAACCCACCTCTCTGCTAATGTGGTGCGGGAAAAGCAACAGCAGAAGGCCCAAGTGTTTGAGGCCTCTGAGCCCACCCGGGAGACTCAGATGAAGCTCCTGGCTCCGGCTTGGCTCAGCCCTGGCCATTGTGGCCATTTGGAGAAGGAGCTGGCAGATAGAAAAGATCTCCTTCTCTCTAACTCTACCTCTCATTGAAACAGAAACTGTTACAGGGTGGTGGGGTGGCACAGAACTTGAAGCGAACCAAAAGGAACTCAGTAGGTGACTCACCCAGGGTCACCCGCTGCCGCACATCCAGGAAGGTGGCCTGCCCGCCATCCCCCTGCCCCAGGGCAGGCCCACAGGCCAGCTCCGCGCCCCCTGCCCACCATGGATGAGATGGACGCAGCCACCCGGGACCCATCTCTACCTCCCTGTGGGCCCCTTGAGCAGAGCAGCATGGGCCCAAGTCTCCAGCGGCTTCTGTTTGCAGGCCTGGCTGGCGGAGGTGGAGGGCCGGCTCCCAGCCCGCGGCGACCAGGCCCGAAGGCAGAGCGGGCTGTATGATGGCCAGTCAGCCCCGGCCGTCAACAACTGCGCGCAGGACCGTGAGAGGTACAGTATGTGTGTGCCGCCCCTGGCAGACCACGGCGGGACGTCCCTGGACCCCGACCCCGTGGGCGCTGTGGGACGTCCCTGGACCCCGACCCTGTGGGCGCTGCGGGACGTCCCTCTGCCCGACCCCGTGGGCGCTATAGTGGCCGTGCGTTTCTCTGTCTTGAGCAGCCCGGATGGCAGCTACACGGAGGAGCAGAGCCAGGAGAGCGAGGTGAAGGTGCTGGCCCCGGACTTTGACGACGAGTTCGATGATGAGGAGCCGCTGCCTGCCATTGGCACCTGCAAGGCGCTCTACACCTTTGAAGGTGCGCCTCTGCCTGCCCGCCCACGTCGCACGGCCTTCCGGCTGCGTGGAGCGGCGTGTCCAGAGGGTAGCTGCAGTGGCCAGCGTGTGGTGCTGACTGCGACATTCACTCACTGACCACACCTGGAGCGGCCCCAAGTAGACATACACGTGGTGGAGGAGGGCAGCTGGCAGGGTCTCCATTGAGTGGGGGTGACCCTGAGGGATGGGCGGGCTCGCATCCCAGGAGTTCTGACAACCGTCAGTACATGCAGCAAGGGCTTCTGGGAGTAGCAGTGGACTTGGCTCCAGGAAGCAGGGGAGGAGGATGCGTTGAGGAGGTCCTAGCTGGACTGCACAAGGTCAGGGCTGCCCCAGGGGTCTGGAGCTGGAGCTGTGCAGTTGGAGGCAGCAGCCATAGATTTCAGAATCAGCTGATGGACTCCCAAGGTGCTGGGCAGAGAGCCGAGTGAGGCCATGGCTGAGTATGCTATCCTGGGGGCTGGCATGTTGGGATAGCAGATGAAGTTGCCACCTGTGGTGCTCTGTGCCCTGTTGGACACAGGTTTTGTCCTGGCTGCTCCGCTTCCCATCCAGCTGCCTGCTTAGGACCTGGGTAAGCCCCCGGAGGACGGCCTAGGTGCTTTGGTGCCCACGTGGCTGACTCTGGAAGAAGTTTGCTAAAGAGTTTGCCTTTCAGAAAACTGGTGAGGGAGAGGTGGCAGGCTTTGAGTTGTTTGTCTTGTTCCGGATTGGTTCATTTGAAAGGCAGTAGGCGTCAGACGGGGAGAGAGCAGATCTCCTGTCTGCTGGTGCTCTGGGAGGCAGCAGGGGCTGAGTAAATGGGATTCCCTAGGAACATCCCTGTGGGAGGCAGGAGGTTGTGGGCCAGGGGCTGCCTCCGTGCCCCTTGCTCCCTGCCGTGCCCCATCCTCCTGAGCAGTGGGCGCCAGTGCTCAGCCCCGCCCCCCCTCCCCAGGTCAGAACGAAGGCACCATCTCCGTGGCCGAGGGGGAGACCCTGTACGTGATTGAGGAGGACAAGGGCGACGGCTGGACCCGCATCCGCAGGAGCGAGGAAGAGGAGGGCTACGTCCCCACGTCGTACGTCGAGGTCTATTTGGACAAAAATGCCAAAGGTGCTAAGACTTATATTTAATACCACTTCTCACACTCACGACTTCAAAAGCAGTTGTTGGTGTGTCTCCCGCTGCTGGCTGCCGGGAGCAGGAGGGCACCGCCAGTGGACTGAAGGTGTCACCCAACCTTTTGCGTCTGGTTCTGCTCTAAGCGCCTCTCGTTTGCTGGTGAGATCTCGGTCCGATCCGCACCTCTTTATTTGCGGTGGCTCCTGCAGGCCGCGCATCAGTAGTTCAGGTCCACACAGGCCCGCACGCAGCACGCACGGCACGGGGGAGGCGCCTGGGCGGAAGACTCCGGGGCTGCAGCCGCAGCTCATGTCCCTCCGGTCTGGGACTCCAGGGTGTTACATTTTGTGACTTAATAAATTTCGGACCGCGCTGGTTTGTTAAATTTACACGGTTGTTCACTTGTGGGGAAGACAAAATCGTGCCCTCCACTCCCCCCATCCCAACCCCGTGCGGTGCTCTCGGCTCCCCTTCGGGTTCCCGTCCTGGGTCCTGCCCCAGGGCTGTGCTGGCAGCCCAGGAGAGCTGGAACTGCAGTGGCCCTGCCTGGAGTTTTTTTAATTATTAGCATATTTAAAAGCCCTCTTTGGAATTGACTGGAGATGGTTTTGTTGGGACCTCTAGCTCCTTCTGAAGATGAGCCATGACCAGGACCGAGCCAGAGACGCCCCACCACCTTTAGAGGTTTCTGGGTCACATGGGCATTTGCATGTTTTGGTTGGCACCCGTGCGGCAGGCAGGACAGGCAGGCCACCCTGGTCCCCACACCCTGTGTGAGTCTGGGCCAGGCGGGAGTCCAACCCTGGCATGACACAGCCGGCCACAGGCGGGGCAGAAGGAAGGGCCTGGGTGACAAGTCCGTTTTCATTTGGCTTTGAAAATGACAACTTTATGTCGTTCTTGGTTTCAGTCAGGGTGTCAGCTCCCAGTCTCCGGGCCGTTCAGAGTCACACACCCCAGTGGCTGTCTGGCCTGCTGGGGCTCCCCAGGAGGGCCGAGCCTGAGCTTCAGGGTCCCAGCCAGGAGCTGACATGAACTTTCCAAGGGTCAGGGCAGCGGAGGAAACAGAACTGGGTAACTGGCTGCTTCATGCATGCTTGTTGGCACATACTTCCCGAGACACGGACCTCCGTGCAGCTGGCAGCCGTGAGAAGACCGTGAGCAGAGGAGATGGCATGCCACTGCTGGGCCCTCAGCCCTGCCAGGTCACCTTTGCAAGGGCAGGCAGCCTGCTGGTCCCTGGACCACACACACGCAGGGCTCTGAGTGGGAGATTCAGAATAGGAAAACCCTCTTCCCAGGAGCCCAGGGGACGCCCAGGCTCCAGCAGCTGCACCCAGGCTTGCTGTGCAAAGTGTGGAGGGGCTGGGCCGGGTCATCCCCACTTCAGTGAGTGGTTCTTGGAAGTGTCGGGCACTGGCTCAAGCAGCAGCCCCTGGGACAGCTGCCACAGGGATCGAGCACCACGGGGACTTTGTGGCTCCAACCAGTGGCCTGAACTACTTGACGACATCGAAGCGTTGTCACACATGTCCGTATGCACCTGGCAGCGCGTGCTCCTCCCCCACGGCTGTTTAATAAAGCTTGTCCCTGGGTCGGAAAGGTGCGCCTGCAGGTTACCAAGGTGACGGCCGAGGAGGCCCTGCCAAGCACACCCACCCCCAACGCTGCTCTCTGATGGCCGTTGTCCAGCGCTCCCAGAAGCCCCGAATTCAACACTGGCTTTTTCTTGCAATTGTGCACTTTGTGTATGTGGACGTGTGTATGTGGACGTGTGTGTGTGTGTGTGTGTGTGTGTGTGTGTGTGTGTGTGGTGTCAACAGTGGTCCTATTTAACGAATGCCAAAAATATTTAGCCTAGAGTAGCTACGGCTCGGTCAGCCTTTCACGGGAGGGTTTTGTTTTGTAAGTTGCCGTTTGTTTGGCCCCCGGTACACACGCAGGCGCACACACACTCAGCCCCAGGTAGATCTGGGTAGGTTTCTGGGAGTTGGGCACTTGCAGTTCTGCCTCTAATGACCTTTTGTTCCCCTGCCGGTGGCTGGGGAGGGTCCCCGCGGCCACCGCTCCGCCCGAGCTGGCTGCAGTCTGAGTAAGTTCTGTGTGAGTTCGACCACCGCCCTCTCATCCTCTCTCTCTCTCTCTCTCTCTCTCTCTCTCTCTCTCTCTCTCTCTCTCTCTCTCGTCTCTGGCATCCACTGGTTGTACTCCTGGAGCCTGCCTTGCCTCTAACAATAAACATTGTGTTCCTCAGTGTCGTGTATTTAAGTGACGCTCCGCCTTCCCGCGGCCTGACTGCCGGCGCTGCTGGGTCCCCTCCTGCTTCCTTCCTAGGCTCTAATGCTGTGTGTCCTTGGTCGCTCCCCACCTCTGCGTGAGAAAGGACTTTCACTGTTCAACCGGCAGGACCCTTTCCCCACCCCACCCCCCAAGCATCCCGTCTCCATCTCTGGAAGCTGAGCTGATTAAGGGAGGTGGGGTGGCGGCTGGGAAAGCCGGAGAGAAAACAGTGAAAGCTCCTTATCTCGCAGCAGCCCCTGTCTGGCCCGCTTCCTGGGCAGGGCAGCACAGCCCCTCGCCCAGCGCCCGCCTCCATCTTCTCTAACGTACAGTTTTCTTTCTCTTTCTCTCTCTGTTGTAGATCCCTAAAGGTGGTGCCCGCAAACCACGGCCTCGGGTGAGCCTTCCCGGAGGGACAGCTCGGGGTCTCTGTCCCCACTCCCAGGCCCCAGCGCCTGCCCTCAGCCGCCGCCCGTCTCCACCCACAGCTGCCTGCCAGCCCCCCTCCTGGGTCCCCTCCCTTCTGCCAGGAGACCCCACAGCCCCAGGCTGCCTCTCCGCACCCCACCCCCAAGCCTGGGAGGGTGCTCAGCCTGGCGCTCTGCATTTCACACTGTGCCTTTGGTGTGGGGACTTCGGAGGGCGGAGTAGACCAAAGGGCCCACCTGACCTGGCCATGTAGCTTAGAAAGCTGCCCTCCCCCATGCCCGCCCGGTGAGTATCCCGCGTCCTGTGGACCCAGGCGTGGCATTGGCCCTCGGGACGTGCCCCAAGCTGGCTCAGAGTTTGGGTGCTAGGCGCGCAGCCCTGGTTCAAAGTCCCATTACCGGGGTCAACTCCTCCCCCAGGGGAGAAGCCAGCCTGCCCACCCCCTACCAAGCATGGGCTGAGGGACCCGAGGTGTCCCCTATCTCTGCACTAAGCCCCAGAAAGGTGGGGTCCCTGTGCCCCCCCCAATCCCCATGTGAGCATCTTGGGGGTTTTAGCGTAGGTATCACCAAATGCCGTGGGCCTTTGCCTCCTGTGCTCCATCCCCCACCCCACTCCAGGCTGTGTGGAATTTAGTGGGGGCCGCCTTCCCTCCCCTGCAGCTCTTGGGGTCCTTTAGGCTCCCAGGCCTGAGAATGCACCAAGCATCACGAGCCTGCGGGCGAGCCCCGGCCACGTGCTCCACGCAGCACTGTGGTCTGAGACAGGGACGCTGGGCTGACCACGACTGGCCCCCAGGAGCCTGGTGACTCCATGGGGGGGGGCACAGAGGAGAGGGAGCAAGTCCTTGGGGAGCCTGCCCTTCCTCTTCCCTGGCCCAGAGCCTGAGCACCCCCACAGTCCCACCCCCCACACCTGCTGGGACCTCAGGGCTCCCTTCCTGCCCTGCAGTGGGGACCTGCCTGTGGTGACGGGGACAGCCCAGGCCTGGCCGCTACCCCTGTGGAGCACTGGGAACCGCCACCGCCACGCCCGGGGAAGCTGAGCAGCTCCTGGAGCCGGATTCCCACACCTCGACAGCCAGGCTGGACAAGCCTCTGGCGTGGCAGGGGCAGAGGTGGCCGCCGTGGTCAGTGCCCCACCTGGCAGCTGCAGGATCCAGTGCGTGGCACCTGCTGAGTGTCCCCGCTCCTGGCCCCTGCACCGCCTCTGGAGTCCCGCACCTCGTGTCCACTCCAGTAATGAGCTGGCCCTGAGGGATGAGCTGGCGGGCCTGGGAAAGGTGGTGCTTTCCAGCAGCTGAGATGGGCCTCCCTCCCTGCATCCTCCTGGGAGCTGCTCACCCCTTCTCCCTGGTACCTGCCCATCCATCGCTCACTCATCCACCCGTAGTGTAAGACTGACTAAACACCTGCCCTGGAAATGACTTTGAGATGAAGGGGAGGGACTCGTCTATGCCCCATCTTTCCTCTGCAGGGCTGGGGGGAGGGGACGTTTATAAGGCATGGAAAGCTGCTGGGGGATTCCTACTGGCTCGGTAAACACTGCCCTGCCCCTTGCTTTTGGTGACCTGGTATGGTAATGTTTGCACAACATGCAGAAGTTATGTTCGTATCGGAGTATTTTTCCAGAAAGTTCTGTTCCATGTTCCCTCTTGGCTTGCCTTCTGTGCTACTATTGTTTAAGGACTTGGGCCCGGCTGCGTGGCCTAGCAGCTAAAGTCCTCGCCTTGAACGTGCCCGGATCCCATATGGGCGCCGGTTCTAATTCTGGCAGCTCCACTTCCCATCCAGCTCCCTGCTTGTGGCCTGGGAAAGCAGTCGAGGACGGCCCAAAGCCTTGGGACCCTGCACCCGTGTGGGAGACCCGGAAGAAGTTCCTGGATCCTGTCCTCGGGTCAGCATAGTATTGGCCGTTGCGCTCACTTGGGGAGTGAATCATCGGATGGAAGATCTTCCTCTCTGTCTCTCCTCCTCTCTGTATATCTGACTTTCCAATAAATAAATAAATCTTTAAAAAGAAAGATCTCTACCAGGAATTCCATTGTAACCTATTGTGGAATGCTTCGCGTGCCTCCACGCGTCACCTCTGCAATGGGGGACTGGCCTCGCAGTCTCCACGATGGATGAAAACCAAATACAGCGCTTCCCCCGGAAGGCTGCGGGACTGTGTGTTAATCCCCTGCGCGTTCCCTGACCCTAGTTACTGAGTGCCACAGGGTGAGGGGACCCGGGCTGGGGTGCTGGCGCCCGCAGGAGGCCAAGACTTCCCAGGTCCCAGTGGGAAGGCTGCTCCAGTTCAGGCCCAGGGGTCAGAGGTTATACCCAGAACTGTTTCCCTACGTTTTCATTTTTTATTTGAAAGACACAGACCCAGAACTGTCCGCTGGTTCATTCATTCCCAAATGGCCACGACATGCCGGGCTGGGCCAGGGTCTCGTGTGTGTGTGTGTGTGTGTGTGTGTGTGTGTGTGTGTGTGTGTGTGTGTGTGTGTGTGTGTGTGTGTGTGTGTGTGTGTGTGTGTGTGTGTGTGTGTGTGTGTGTGTGTGTGTGTGTGTGTGTGTGTGTGTGTGCGCGCGCACGCGCGCGCAAGAGGCACTTGGACCAGAACCCCAGACGCAGTGATCCTGGGTGCCGGTGGCACGGCGGGCAGGACCCTGTAGACCTGGATGGAATTGCTGGTTTCCCCGGGTGGGTCTGTGTTTGCTCGGTGTTCCTGGGGGCTCTGTAGGAGACTGAGGCAGACCTTGGCAGCTCTCCTGGGCATGGGCAGGGTAGCCCTGCCTGGGCCCATGCCAGTCTCCCTGTGTGTGCGGGGGGTGTGTCAATGAGGAGCCTATCTCTGGCCCCTGAAGCCAGGGCCTCCCGGGTCAGAGGGAGCGGGGCGCGGCCCTCCCTCCCGGGCCCAGAGGCCAAACCAGCGCTGTCCCAGCCACAGGCTAAATTAGGAAGCGTGTTCCCAGCTTTGTTGTGGCTCAGAAATTGTTTCTGGCAGGCTTTGGCCGAGCCACCGGGTGGGTCCTTGGCTCCCTGCTGGGGTTCATGTGCGTGCCCATCACAGGCCATCCCTGGCACACTGGAGAAACTGAGGCTGGAGGTTCCAAGTGACTCAGAGGCGCGGGGCAGGCCACAAACCCGGTGTCTAGCACCTCCTTGCAGTCTGAAAATACCAGCCCTGCATGGCACACCCAGCACCCTGCCCAGACCCGCCCCAGCCCAGGCAGCTCTCCCCGGGAGCAGCGACCCCTAGTGGCGGCTGGGTGACTAGGACTTAAAGGGGGTGGTGCGGGTTCAGCACCGGTGTACCCGCCTTTAGCCCGACAATACCATGCTGGTTCCTGCCCGGAAACAGGCCTGTGCGTATTTGTAGGGGTGCAGCCCCTTGTCCACTCGTGTGCAGGCTCTCAACTGCTCAGTAAACCAAGTGGGGGCCCCTCCCTTGCCTAGCCCCAGGCATCACAGGGGCACAGCCAGCCTGTGTGGGCAGAGCCAACCCTGCCCCATCTCTCCCACAGAAATAGAATCAGGGCGTGGAGCAGACAGCGGGGTGGGGTGGGGCTGTGGGAACGCATCTCTGTTTATTAGGATGCCCTTGACACAGAATGGCCGTGTGGGCCAAGGCCAGTTTACAACCTGCCCGGCCAGCCCAAGAGGACGCGAGAGAGGGTGGGCAGAGAAGGCCAGGGCCTGGGAGTGGGCCAGCAGCAGGGCCCCAGGTTGCCATTGCCACGGAGAACAAAGGGCATGGGGGCCAGGGGCTCCTCTCAGGACTCCCTTTCCACCTCTTTCACTCTGAACCTGAGAGCCTGCCCTTGCTGCTCACCATCCGGCAGGCAGGCTAGCCTCACGGCCCAGAAGTGAGGTATTTCTGCTTCGTGCCCGGCTCCCTGGGGGCTGGCAGGCTCTCCCCAGGCGGGTTAGGAGGCTGCTGGTCCGACACCCCAAGGTCGGGAATGCACCAACACTCCTCCTGCTGCGTGTCCAAGTTCATAGGCGTTCCAAGTCGTCTTGCAGCAGGACCCAGCCCTTGGAGCAGCCCAGGATGCGGGGGTCTTCCTCCCAACGCAGGGAGAGGCAGGAGGAAGGCGTGGCTGCATGCCCCCCACCCAAGCCTGCCCGGCCAGCAGCTTCCAGCCATGAGTCCCTGGGGCATCGGGCAGGTGTGCGAAGGGGAAGTGTTTGTTCTTGGCCTCGGTGCCAGCCCCAGGCCCTGACTGGAGGGAAAGCGGCTCTGCGCACCACAGACAGAGGCTGCGCCCCATCTAGCCGGGGGCGGCCGGGTTTGGGAACGCGAGGGCAACAGTGACTGATGCTGAATGAACGTCACAGAGTCTTGGTCGTTGAAACAAGCCTGGAGGGCATCTATTTCCTGGTGGAGCACTGCTCGCCGTGAACACACCAGCGCTGCCTCGGCACACATCCGGCTCTGCGTTGCCCTCCACGGGGAGGGGCAGACACGGGCCTGTAGGAACAGCAGGCACTGAGCCGGGCATGCTACACACCAGGTCCCTCTGATCAGCTGGTGGAAGGTGAGGTTGGGGCCGCGTCCTTCCAACATGAGAGGGACGCCGAGGGCATCTGGGGGGCAGGCAGGAGTCCACCAGGGCGACTTACAGACTGGCCCGCTGAGTCACACGGCGCGCGTCTCGGCTTGGATCTTGTGCTCCCCGTGCAGGCCGCCAGGCTCCTGGAGCTGGCCCACGCTCTGGCGGATGGCGATCTCGGGCCCGCCGCCGTACAGGCTGCTCAGGTAGGTCCAGGTCTCCTCGGAGATCTGTCCGTAGTCAGCCCCTGTGGGGCACGAGGCATGCCTGGGCAGGGGCTGGGGCAGGAGGGCGTCTGCAGGGCTGTCCCAGAGCCCTCAGGACACCCCTGGCTGCCGCCCTGCGATTCCCGGGGCTGGGGCTGGGGGCCCAGGAATGCATGCAACCCAGACCCCAGGCCGGGGGGTGGACGCACCCTGCTTCAACTGCACGTGGCCCCCGCCCTTGACCTGTGCGATGCGGCTGTTGTCGATGGGCCCAGGGGGCTCTGGAAGACACACACACACACACACACACACACACACAGACTGAGGCTCAGGCCCTACCCCCCTCAGCAGAGGCAACCCTGTGACCCCAGAGGCATTCCTGGCACCCCAAGAGCTGGCTGTGGCCAGTGTGTCAGTGGTGGGAGCCAGTCTGCGGGGACTGCCCCATGGTGAGCCATGCCAACCCCTCATACTCCCACCTCTCTGAATCTGTGGCAACTGAGATGGCAGCTGCGGGCAGGCAGACAAGGTGCGCACAGCCTAAGTGTTACGCCCAGGTCAGGGTTGGCGGCTGGCCACTGCCACCCAACACAGCCTACCTCGGGCAGAGCCAGCAGGCCCAGACAACAGTGAGGCTCCCTTCCTGAGGACTTGCCAGCGCTCAGGACCCAAAGGACAAGAAGCCTCGGCACAGCCCTGCCATCAGGAGCCTGAGGGAGAGGCCAGGACAGCCACATGCAGGTGGCCTTTGGGCTCTGCTGCCCTTCCCCTGGGAACCCCAGGGGCCGACACCATGTCTGTTGTCCCATCAGCTAAGCCCTTGGGTACAGCTGCTGCAGGGCAAGGAGCAGGACAACCCCATGGGGCAGGTGGCTCAGCGGTCAGCACCCACGGCCTCCCGCAGTGCCAGTGCGCAGGCCGCAGGACTCACCGTTGTCCTTGCCCTTGACGAAGGCCTCCCACTCGCGAAACCACTGCATGCTGATGCAATAGAGGACACTGGGTGACTCCTCGGCCTGGAACGCCTTGTTCAGCTTTATGTGGGAAGGGGAAGCAGACTCAACACCCTGTTGGCCAGACACACCAAATGCCTCCCTCCACCCCAGACTCAGATAGGTGGAGGAGAGGTACCCCGGGCACTGGTGGCCACGAGGTGCAGCTCTGGCAATCTCCTTTCAGGAGTGGCCCCGTGAGCCACACAGGACACCACGGGGGGTGGGGGCGCTGTGCTCCCCACTTCACAGAACCTGTTGTCCACATCACGCACAGTGTCCTAACTGCTCAGTCCACACAGCAGGGTCAGGCCGCAAGGCCCCGTGGCACCCGCGGTGTGCCCGTCCCCATGCCCCGCACCTTGATGAAAGTGTCAATCTCCACCTTCCGGCGCTTGGCCAGCGCCTCCACCTCCACCTGGCAGATGGAGCACACGTACAGATGGTTCACGGCGGGGCCGCCCCCAAACCTGCGTGGGGCAGAGGAGGATGGGGGGTGGCGTGGACACAAGCCCTGAGGGCAGGCCTGCGGGAGGGTGGGTCCCCCCCCCGCGCCCCTGCTCTCTGCCCCACCCTCTGGCAGCAGGCCTTCCCAGCCTCTCCTCTGTGCCTCCCTGGCGCACCTGCAGTGGCCTGGCCTGGGCTGACTGCCACAGGAAGGTCGCCCGCTCTTGGTCCTCAGGGACTCAGAACCCATGGACTGGATTGGGTGCTAGCCCCAGGCTGAAGCCCCTGTGCCCACCCTTCCAGGTGGGCTCACATGACAGCTTTTACTTCAGCCAGTCGCCTGCCCCTTGGGATGGCAGGTGTATTGTTAGGGGCCTGGGTAGGGGAGTGGGCCAAGGGACCCCCAAGTTGTGGAGCCCTCCTCCCTGCCCGAGGCGCTCACCTGTTGTACAGGTGCTCCCAGACATTCTGGGGCAGGATGACAACCAGGTGGTCGATGTAGTGGTATTTATTGGGTGGGATACCTGCAGATTCAGGCACCGGGAGGGTGCGTGGGCTTCAGCCACGTGTCCTGCTGCGTGCCGCCCCCAACCCCAGCGAGGGCGCCTCACCTCCGTGGGAACAGAGGAAAGTGTGGTTGGTGATGGGCCCTGGCTCTGCGAAGGTGTTGAACTTGTTCAGCCACTCACGGGAGACGTAGAAGCGCAGGAGGCTGGGCTCCCGCAGGGCAGCCAGAGACACCACCTGCTGTCGCTCCCGCACAGCCTCCTCACTGCTCTTCCTGGGGTGCATGTGGGCCAGGGTGGGACAGGAGGGCAGCTGAGCCTCCCTGCTGGCAGGGCAGGAGTGCAGGGGAGCAGGGGAGGCGGACCAAGGTGGCCCCATTGCTATCTCTGCACATGGAATCCCCAGGGGACCACCTCAGGCTTGGACCAGGATTTGGGGTTCCCTTGACAATCAGAGGCCACTTTCTGGAACCCCCAAAACTTCCTTCTCCTGGCTTGGTGCCTGTCCGGCACCCCACCCCAGATCGGCCCCCTCCCGCCCTGTCAGCCCCTGTGCACATGCCCAGCCACCTCCCGCCCCAGACAGCCCCTGCACACCTGTCTGCCAACCCCGCCCCTGTCCGGTCCCCTGTGGCCCTTATCAGCCCCTATACACCTGCGCGGCACCCGCACACCTGTCCGGCCCCTCCCACCCTGGCAGCCCCGCCCCTGTCCGGCCCCTCCCGCCCCGGCAGCCCCGCCCCTGTCCGGCCCCCCCCGCCCCGTCAGCCCCGCCCCTGTCCACCCCGTCAGCCCCGCCCCTGTCCGCCCCGTCAGCCCCGCCCCTGTCCGGCCCCCTCCCGCCCCGTCAGCCCCGCCCCTGTCCGGCCCCTCCCGCCCTGGCAGCCCCGCCCCTGTCCGGCCCCCTCCCGCCCCCGCCCCTGTCCGGCCCCTCCCGCCCCGTCAGCCCCGCACCTGTCCGGCCCCGTCCCGCCTCCTCCGGCCCCGTCAGCCCCGCACACCTGTCCGGCCCCCGCGGCCCCGCACCTGTAGAAGAGGACGTAGGCCTCCGCGTTCTGCACCACCGTCTCGTGGACCTCAGTGACGTACTGGTCATCGAACTCGTACCACTGCCCATTGATGACATTCTGGCAGTAGGCGATGTAGTGCCCACCTGGGCGGCAGAGCAGCCTGTCACGGGAACCCTGGGAGACGGGGGAGTCTGGGGGCGGGGGGGGGGGACCCGGACTCACTGCCTGCCGTGCCGTGGTGGCAGATGACGGAGAGGAGGTCGTAGGTGGTGACCTGCGACGTGCACTCCTTGGCCAGGAAGGGGCGCAGGTCGAGGCCTTCGAGGGGGAAGGAGACGTGGCTGCTGATCTTGCAGGAGTACATGACCTCGTGCCGGAAGCGCTTCAGGTGGATGCACAGGATCTGGGGGGAGGGGCGCCGGTCACGCCAGGGCTGGCTGGCCAGCAGCAGGGGGGCGAGCACAGGAGTCCGACCACCATGGGGTTCGCAAATGCGCCTTCTGGCCGGTCCCTCTAGGGAGCGCTCACCGGCCTGACAGGCACACTGCCCAAGAATCCTAAAGTCCATTTATTTGGGCACCGACTTCCAGAAGGGTTTCTGCTGGGCTTTCCCAAACCCACTCGGCTCCCTCCCAGGCCCACCCCCACGGGCTCGGCCAAGCCCCTTGCCTGTAGGCCACACACTCAGCGACCCGCACTAACATGCATGACATGGGGCTGGAGCCCGTGCAAAGGGAAAATGCCCTGAGCCAAGGCAGGCCCCTCTGCACCAGCACCATCTCCAGGCTCCCCTTGGCACAGGTGCCCCAGGTGGTGTGGGTGGCACCTCCACCCGGCACCAGGGCCCAGTGGCGGTGGCATGTCCGTGTGCATGGCAGTCGCCCCTCACCTCGGGCAGCCGGAGGACCTTGCAGTACTTCACGCCGTTCCGCAGCCTGCGAGGAGGGGCCCCGAGGGGTCAGTGTGAGGAGAGGCCGGGCCGTGCGGGCTTCCCACCCTGACAACAAGGGCACTCACTTCTTACACCGCTCACAGCTGTACATATTGTCACCTGGGCAGAAAAGAGGGAGAGCGGCAGGTGAGTGGTGTGGGAGGACAAGCGGGCGACAAGGATCAGAGAAAGCCTGGGCAGCTGGACCCGACGGAGCCGGCAGCCACGTGGGAGACGGGGCGGAGTTTCCAGCTCCTGGATTCAGCCTGGCCCTTTCTGGAGTGAATCAGCAAATGGAGGCTCTCTCTCTCTGCCTTTCACATAAACTGGATAAACGTTGAGAAACTTTGAATGGGACTGCACCCAGTCGTGCGGTTCTGCTCCTGGGCGTGTGCCCACACCGCTGCAAGGGTTGGCATCTGCATGCCACAGGGCAGCGCTGTACGCAGCAGCAGTCTGGGCAGCCGAGGGGTACAGGGAGTGCAGCCCGGCCACACCCAGCGGAGGGTCCATGCCACCTGCTGCAGCCCACGGGCCTGGCGAGCACTGCTCAGTGAAGCTAGCCATGCAGAGCGCCAGGGACCGGGAGACCTCACTTCCTAAAGGTCCCCAGAGCTGTCGCAGACGGGCAGGAGGGCGTCGGGAGGTGACGAGGGGACCTCCGCAGCCAGCAGTTCTCCAGAGGGAAGCAGGCTTGGGGGCACAGAGGGTGGGCTGGCCAGCACTGCACGTGGACCCTGCTCCAAGGCAGCACCACAACACCCAGGACAGACGCTGCAGGGCCAGTGCGGTGGCGTAGTACACCAATCCTCCACCTGTGGCACTGGCATCCCAGACGGGCACCGGTTCTAATCCTGGCAGCTTCGCTCCCATCCAGTTCCCTGCCTGTGGCCTGGGAAAGCAGTCGAGGACGGCCTTGGGACCCTGCATGTGGGTGGGAGACCAGGAAGGGGTTCCTGGCTCCTGACTTCAGATCAGCTTAGCTCTGGCCATTGCGGCCACTTGGCAAGTGAACGGAGCATGGAAGACCTCTCTGTGAGAGCTGCCTTTCAAATCAAAATATCTCTAAAAAAATGATAAAAAATTAAAATAAATAAAAACAAATCTTTAAAAAGCAACAAACAAAACAGGTGCTGCACCCACTTGCGTGATTTCTGTCTTTGTTTTTAAGATTGATTTATTTATTTGAAAGGCAAAGTTTCAGAGAGCCAGAGTTCAATCCTGCATCCAGGGGTTCACGCCCCAGAAGGCTACACAGCCAGGGTTAGGCCAGACGGAAGCCAGAGCTTCAAGGACTCTCCCGCCTGGCTCCGAGGGTCCCGGCACGGGGGCTGTCCTCCAGTGCTCTCCTGTGCTGGTTCGTAGGGAAAGGAGTGGAGCAGCCGCTTGTTCAGGACTTGACATGGCACCCATATGGGATGCTGGCACTGCAGGTGGCGGCTTCAGCCCCAGTCACCTGCTTCGTGCCCTGACCACAGCACAAAGTCCATACAAAATGTGTGCTCCGCCGCAAGGGGGACAGAGGACAAAGATGGGACACGAGTGGAAGATGCTGGCCCTGGCGGCCCTTGGGGGAGTGGACATGGGGACGGAAGAGCTTGCTGCCCCCCACGCCAGTGCCAAAGCAGGTCAACACCCAAGGGTCACAGGTGGTGGGTCGGGAGATGACTCAGGTCTGGCCAGCCTGCCAAGCAGTCGATGCGTTTGACATTGGAAGCCCAGGCCAGGCACCTCCATCAGCCTGGGCTACCACATGCTGATGGCCCAAGACCGGGTGCTGGGACTTCCCCCAGCGGGCCAGGCCACTTACCCTTGAGCTCATCAGCAGCGAAAAAGGCGGCAAGGCAGTCTTCCAGGGTGACAACGGGTCCCCAGAACCAGCTGGGGGTGCAGGACACCAAAAACCTAAGGAGACAGACAGGGCGTGGCTACATCACCAGGGCCTGGGCCCGAACCAGACGTGGGCCGAGTCCCGTCCAGGCCCAAGCTTGAGGAGGGGTCACACCCCGAGGCCTGGAGACTCCAAGGTGTCCTAGGGTGAGTGGGGCCTGCACCCATCTCCCTACAGACACGTTGCTGCCCACCCAGTCGGCCGCGGGGGCCTTGTCATCCCGCAGGTGAGCAGCCCATGGTACACCCTCTGGTGGGCGCAGGAGAGCCCCACCTGCACCCTGGCAGCTGCCCACCCCCACTTCCAGAACAGGACCATCAACCCAGGAGGCTCACCGCAGCCTGACTCCACATACCCCCAGTCCCTTGCCCAGCTTGTCCTGGGCCCCCACCACGCCTGCACCTCACTGCATCAGGACCGCCCGTGTCCACAGCAGGCTTACCGCCGGATGTACTCCACGATGAAGGCTAGCCAGCCCTGGGCGGTGTAGCTGTCCCCACAGGAGCCCTGCTTGGCTGGCGTGTTCTGGTAGATGGCCGAGTGCAGCTTGGCCAGGTCCTCCTTGCCGGGAATGGGCAGCGAGAGATCCTGGAACGTCTCCACCGTGGTGGACACCTGTGGGGTGCAAGATGACAGCTTGGTGCCCACCCTTGGGGGCCTCCAGCCCTGCTCCCGAGAACCCGGGAAGGGCAGCCCCTCCTGGGGGTGGAGCTGCCCGGGCCTGGGGCACGCACCCGGTCACAGGTGAGGCACTGCACCAGGCTGAGGATGGAGCCGTCGAAGATATCCGAGATGACACTACGGTAGCACTGCTCCCGCCGCCTCCGGCTGCCGGCGCTCGGCACCTGGGCTGGGGGCACAGCACGGAACTCGGCCCGGCCTCCACCTGCCATGCTGGGGCAAGGCGCAGGCCCAGGGGCTCCCTTGGCCAGGATAGGGGTGGAGGACTTTTCTGTTGATTCACTCTCCAAACAGCTACGATGACTGGGGCTGGGCCAGGCTGAAGCTACGAGCCAGGAACTTCTTCCCCAGGCTCCCATGTGGGTGCAGGGGCCCAGGGAACTGGACCATTTTCTGCTTTCCCAGTTGCACTGGCAGGGGGTTGGATCAGAAATGGAGCAGTCAACATTGAAACTAGCACTTATCCATATATGCTGGGGTGGCAGGCAGTGGCTTAATTTGCCCTGCCACAGTGCAGGCCCCCTGGGGCTGAATGTTTTATAAGACACGGGACTGGGCATGCAGTACTTCCTTGTGCCTCAGTGTCACTCTAAAATGGGACTCCCCTTCTCCCATCCTCAGGGGCGTTACAAGGCTTCTGAGGTGCTGTGGGAGGAGGCCACAGCCCTGGCCCTGGGGACAGAAATGGTGGTCTGGGCACGACTTCCACCCCCAGCCCTCAGGGGCTGCCTTCCTGCTGGCCTGCCAACCTTTCTTGAGCACGTAGGATGGCCCCATCCTCACGGGGCTGGCACGAGGAGGGCTGCTGGACAGCTTGGCGTGACCCTCGTGGTGGTGGACGGGGCTGCAGGGACGAGAGGAGCTGCGTAGATGGGCGTCGTTGTCCGGCTCTGGGAGCAGAGAGGCGGCCATGGGGGTGAGTGCAGCATGAGCCAGCCCAGGCCCCACGCAGCACAAGGACCTGTCAGCAACCCTACCAGGACTGAGGCCTGGCCCCAATGTGTCCTCTGTGGTCCCAGCACTGCAGGGGAGCAGGCTTGTCCCTTCTGTGACCAATTGAGGGCTCAGTTCTCCGGGGCTGGCTGGGGATCCAGCTCCAGCTAAGTGGATCTGGACATAATGTCTCTACTAGCGGCGGAAACTGCCCCCCCAAGTGGCCCTGGGCATATGTGGCTGGGCCTGCAGCCAGGGCTCCGTGTACCTGGTGTCCGGCAGGGGCTGGCGGAGCGCGGGGACGGTGGCTGGCTCTCTGAGGGCTGCTCGCCGAGGGCGGCCATGGCTGTGTCCACGTCCGCATCCTCATCCACCTGCTCCGAGTTTGTGCGCTGCTGGCCCCAGGAGAACTTCCGGTCCTTCATCCGCTCCTTCTCAGAGATGGCGCGGCCCGCCTCGTCTGGGATCAGCAGCTCCGTCTCGGCCTGCGAGCTGCCCCCGCCACGCCCCTGCCCGTCACCCTCACCACGGTCACTGCTTGAGTCACAGGACAGGAACTCGTCCTCGGACGGGCTCCGATCGCCCTCCCGCTTCTCGTCAGTGTCGCTTGAGTCTGAGTCCCGAGCCTCCACTGTCACCGTTGCCACTGCCGGCTCCTTGAGCTCCTCGTGCAGCTGGTCCATGAGGCAGCGCAGGAACTCCTGGGTGTCCTGGGACCAGGCACTGCTGTCAGTGGCCCTGGGGGCGACCCCATCCTCACCCTCATCCTCCCAGGCACACTGAGGCCTGGAGGGGCCGAGGGACTCCTCCTCCCATGGCACACAGCTGGCAAGTGGCGACCACCATGCCATGGAAGCAGAGCAGCCAGACCCCTGGGTCCCCATGTGCCCTTCAGGCAGAGCCTGGCACTCTGAGAGGTAGAACCTCCACCAGGTGTCGCATCGAGAGGGCATGCATGTCCTGCATTGGCACACGGAAACATAACGACTGCATCTATGATGCCGATTTTGCTGTTGGCATGTGTGTGGAGTTCCTGCCAAAGTCTTGGCAGTCACTCAGCCTGGAGCCAGCAAGGGGATGCCTATTCTGGACTCAACTGTGCCACGTAGCAGGGGCCTCGCCCAGGCCTGGGGTAGGCTCTGCCAGGCCCAAGTCCCATCCCTGTGGCTGGTGCACTGGGCCTCAACTTGGCAGCTGGCGCATCACAGGGCAAGGGCTGCAGCTGTGAGCACCACCGGGCTGTGCAGTGTCTGCTTGGTGAGCGGCAGACAGAGGGTGCCAATCTCTGGGTGCTTCAACCATTTTCTCCCCAGATGCACTGGGCTCGTAGGGCGACAGCCTGGTGCCCAGCAGGGGAAAGGCAGCAGGAGAGGGCACAGGCCTTGCCTAGGTGCCAGGTGCAGCCCCAGTGGACACTCGCCCAGTGCAGGCTGTGCAGTGGGCTGGCAGGAGTGGGGACTGGGTGGTGGGACACACAGCTCTACCTGGGCTGAGGTGCACCCATGACTAACTATGCTGTGCTATGACTTAGCCCCATGTGTTTTATATAACACAGACATGGCTGATTTCTTAAGACTGAAAACGCCCTCGATGAAAACTTTTTTCTTAAGGAAGATGCAATTCCTCCGAGTACCAGTCTGTGGGTGGTGCTGGAGGATCCGTGTCCAGGCAGTGCAACCAGGGTATGGGACTCGGCCCCCGGAGCCTCAGCCTTCCCACCTGTGGCCTAGTCACCCTGTGTCCTCACACGCACAAAGGACTCAGGCAGGAAGAGCCTGGGTCCCCTGGGCCACTGCCACCCATGTCCACCCCGGTCTGGCCTCAAAGCCGGCCTACCTGCTGAGCATAGCCTCGGAACATTGGGTTCACCAGCTTGATCCCATGGGACAGGCTGGTGGGGACCACGTAGCTTGGCCTGTGGGGAGAACAAACCCTTTGGCCCAGGCCCTGGCCTTGAGTGGCTCCCCTTGCGGGCAGCAATGCTGCAGGAACCCAGGCACATCCTGAGGCACTGGGAGGGGCCAGCCAGCTGGCCGTGAGCCTGGCAGCTCTCACACCTCCGTGGTCAGGTAGGAAGCTCCTGACTGGACAGCTCCCGCTCTCACTGGGCCGTGACAAGCGCTCTGCAATCATCATTTTCCCTCTAGAATATTCACTGTGGTTTTCTTGATTCCAAAGCAACATATGCTCATCCCCGAAGAACCTGGGGCAGTCCAGACACCCCATCCCCGAAGAACCCGGGGCAGTCCAGACACCCCGGCAGCTGGGGCACGTCCCCAAGCATGCACCATGGGGGTTCCCGGGGGTTGCTGGGAGAACACACACAAAGTGCGCTCAGGCAGACGCGGTGACCAACTGCCTTCCTCCACGGCACGGCCCAGTCCTGTTCACCAGTGGGTGAGCTCACCCATGAAAGCTGACTGACTCCTCCCTGGCCCACGCTCTGGGTTCATGCACATGGACAACCCCCTCGCGAGCACCAAGATGGGGTGGGCCCAGAGGCCCCGTCAAGCCCCCAGGTTCAACTCCGAGCTTACCTTTCACGGGCTGTGTGGCCTTGACCAGGTTCCTAAGGCTCTCTGCCCCTCAGCTGCTCATCTGCCCACCGGGTTGGATGTGAGCTAAGTGTATGGGCAAATGCCACTCTGGGCAGAGTGCCAGGAGGCCCCCACTCACCGCTTCCTGTGCCACACCTCGGAGACCAGCTTCTGGTAGCTTTTGCACAGGGCTGGCTTCTTGTCGGTTCGCACCAGGCCTCCGCACTCCAAGAAGAACTGCGTCAGCGGAGGGCTGTTGGGGAGAGGGGAGAGCAAGGACAGGTGAGCCAGGCCAGGAGCAGAGGGGCCTGTGGCACCAACCCTTGTGTGCAAGCTGGGGCACACAGTGGCCTCCTGAACCCCAAAATGCCTGCCTGGGATTCAGCTCCCCAAGTTTGGACTGCAGCCTTGACCCTGGGGGGCCCAGAAGTGACTGTATGTGGACTTCCCAGAGGAAGCAGGTCAACGGGTCCCCAGGGACTGGAGTCCTCACAGGAGGAAACGTGGACATGCACACAAGCACCTGCCACGCGTGTGTGGGGACAGTCATGGTGGCCAGCAGTCATTGCAGGGAGGCTCAGATTCGCAAAGGGGACACTAGGACTGGGGTCGCCCGGGCTATGGTCCTGTTACAGTGGCCCTAGGATCTATCCTGGGGGGCGGAGCTTACTTCCAGGAGACCTGCAAGGCGAGGGGACCGCTTTCAGGGACCAATGGTGACCAATGCCTGGTCTGCAGAGACGTCCCTGGCTGTCCCCCACTCCCTGTCTCTTGTATTTTTAGAAATTACTATAGAAGATGTTTAATATGGAAAAGACAGACTAGTCAACAATAACAGCCAACCGTCATGTGGCCACCCCAGGGTGGCTTCTTGGGTAGGTGGGCATTCACCCTTCCAAACTTCCCCACTGCCTTCCCCCAGCTCCAGCTGCAGACACCCAGTGCCCCCAGGGGGTTCTGGGGGTTGTCAACTAATCCCTCACCCCAGGAAGCAGGGCTCCCCTCCATGAACTGGGCACTGCCACCTGTGCCACCTGAAGCTCTCTGATCCAGGACTTCCTGCTTACCAGGTTCCCATCCCTTCCCACTCCAACAACAGTGCCTGCACCCCTGCTCCTGCAGCCTTGTCTGGTGCCCTGGTGTGGATGCCCAGCCCCGGGCTCACTGGCAGCGGCTGCAAGATGGGCAGCCTGGCCCATCCCCTCACTCACTCTGGGGCTTCCTTGGGGTCAGCTGCCCCAGGAGACCTGCTAGGATCCTGACACATATGCTGACACGTGAAGGCAACATGTGCAGCCCACCGTGGGGGCCACTCCTCTGCCCTCTACTGCCCCAGGTGAGGTGACTACCTACCAGTTGGACAGGGCCTGCAGGGCGGCATTCATGTAGCAGGAGTTGCCAAGGTTTTTCATACCCGTGAGGCCTGGGAAACAAATGTGGTGGGTTACAGGGCCGCTGGCCTGGGGAGCGGAGCTGCAGCTCTCAGGGGGACCCTGGGACCCAACCAGAGGACAGGCAGGGGCTGCCCACCCAAGACACCCTCTACACACAAGCAGATGGTCCCTGCGCCCACCCACTGCAGTTCCCCAAGTGCCCGAGGGAGCCAGCCCCGGCCTCTACATCCTGCCCAGCCCACCGCCTGTGTCACACAAACAAGGAGGTTGGAGAGTGGGGCTGAGAGAGGGGGCAAGGATGGCCAGGCCTGCAGGCTCTTGGCGGGGACTGGCCTCCGCAGGGGCCGCCTGTTGCCCAGACCACCCAGGGCTGCACGGCACGGGCACAGCCCGTGCGCCGGGCTCGGGGGGCCTCACCTCGGGGCTTCAGGTCATCGTCTTCCGACTCGGATTCCCCCTCATCAGCCACGGCTATGGGGACAGCTTTCAGTGGGTGGGTGGGCGGGGGAGAATCCTGCGGCAAAAGCCCACTCAGAGTGAGGGACAAATGGGAGGAGGGGGAGGGAGGGAGGGAGGCCAGCCTCGCCCCAGGAGCCTAGAAGGCAGCCAGCCACGGAGATCGTCTTGTCCTGGGAACTGCCTGACTTGTATGTTTATTTGCAATAATGAGTAACAACCGCGTAATTGATCATGGTAGGCTTGAGAAAAAGTGCACAAGCTCATTTCCTGCCCACGGATTCCTACAGACCTTCCTGTCACACGTGCATGTGTGCACACACGGGCACACCTAACAAATGGCATGCTTTCTGTGTTACAGCAGAAACTCAGGAACCTCTCCCAGGTTCACAATGTCATGTCATGACGAGCACACGGTCCTGGCCACCTATGACGTGACTCTTCAAAAAGATGCCTATCTAGTTGTCATCAACTGGAAGGGTAGAGTGACACGCATGCACACACATGCACACAAACCCAGAGAACCTGTCGTCGCCTGTTCACACCCCAGTGCCTGCAGTCAGGGCCCAGGAGCCCACGTGCATCTCTCACACGTGTGGCAGGGCTGCAGGGACAGGGGGCACCACCGGCTGCGCGCCAGGGTGGACACTGTGGTGGCATGTAGGCACGCCACATGGTGGCTTCACACTGCCCCACCCGTGCCCACCATGCGGCTCTCTGTGGAGCAGACCCAGCACCTGGCACATCCCTTTGCTTCTACCTGGACAGTCCCTGGGCACAAATGAGGGCAGGCCTCGGCTGAGCCTGGGACTCAGGGCTGCTGAGCACCTGCACGCTCCCATGGGGAACCACCACAGGGACCGCCTGTGGTTCCTTGGAATGCAAGTTAGAGCAGCTGGTGGCTGCCGTGACCTTACTCTGCCCTCCCCCCAGAGCCTGGGTCCCTCCCAGCTCCTGCCCTGACATACAGATGCCCACCCACTCCTCCTGCTTCCTTACCACCTCACAGGGCCCTCAGAGCGGGGCTCGGTCAGTGTCTGTTGACCAATGAGGCTCAGATCCAGGAACAGACCACAGGGGACGCACTGGCCCACACGCCACAGTGCTGGGGACCTACTGTCCCAACCCGACGGCGTCCCCACCACAGCCACTACCTGCTCAGAGAACTTGGCCGAGGAAGCTGGCGCCAGTGGGTGGGCCGCCAGCCGCTGCTCCAGGAACACCTCCTTCTCACAGGCGTAACACCACACCCGCAATGTGGTCAAGTTTACTGTCAAGTTGTGCTTTTTGGTCTAGGAGATGAGATCCAAAATGTGGGTCAGGGATCCCCTGGCTGTACAGATGTCATGGGGCTGCTTCCACTGCCCAGCCTCCAGAAGGGACCTGCCAAGACAGGGGCTAGGGGCTCAACTTCCACTGCCCAGCCTCCAGAAGGGACCTGCCAAGACAGGGGCTAGGGGCTCAACTTCCACTGCCCAGCCTCCAGAAGGGACCTGCCAAGACAGGGGCTAGGGGCTCAGCTTCCACTGCCCAGCCTCCAGAAGGGACCTGCCAAGACAGGGGCTAGGGGCTCAACTGGGGCACACCGTCCAGACAGGGACACAACAGGACTGCAAATCAGATAGGTGTACGTATGTGCCAAGCATGCCCCCTTGATGGGGGCCGCCCTAATCCAACTATCCCCGTGTTCCAGCCCCAGCCATAGAGGTCCAAAGCAGGGGGACAGGGCTGGGAGGTGGCCAGAGCCAGGGTCTGAACCCAGGGCTGTCGGACAGCAGAACCTGGCTCAACCACCGCACCCACCGCACCCACCTGTGCATGGATGGTGCTGTGGTCAGCGAAAGACTCTCCACAGCCGACATAGGGGCAGGCGACCTGGAGAGAGAGGGGAGGATGGTGGGCAGGGAAAGGCAGAGGACCCAGGGACAGCATCGGCCTAGCAAGTTGCCGAGCCAAGGCCAAAGATGCCTCCCAACCCCACCCACCAACCCCTGCATGGCGTGAGGGTGTCACAACCACAGCGACCTTAGCGCCATCTGGAAGTTTGTGCTGGGCAGGGAGGGTGCTGCCCTGAGATGGCTGAGGTGCCCCGGAACAAGCAGCCCAGGCAGAGTAGCAGCTGCAGCCAGTGGGTGGGAGCTCAGACCATCACCCTCTTCCGAAATTCTCTAAGGATTTATTTTAGAATAGATGTATTGATTTATCTGAATGGCAGAGTTGCAGGGAGAGAAGGAGAGGCAGAGGGACAGGTCTTCCCCAGACGGCTGCAAGGGCTGGGGCTCTGCAGCCAGGAGCCTGGAGTTCCTTGCAGCTCACCCATGTGGGTGTGGGGGCCCGAGCACTTGGGCCATCTTCTACCACTGTCCCAGGCATGTTATCAAGGAGGTGGATCAAAAATGGAGCATCTGGGACACAAACCAGTTCCCACGTGGAATGCTGGCACTGCAGGCAGAAACAATCTACTGTGCCACGGTGCCAGCCCTACTACCATTTTCTAATGGGGCACATGCGATGGCAGCATGTTCAGAAAAAGGACAGGAAGTAGGGGGCATATCTCTGAGGACCCTGGACCTTGCACGCTCCCACGCCACAGCTCCCACCCTCGCAGCTCCCGGGCCTCCTCCATGGGCCTCTGCCAACAGCAGTCATACCTGCCATTTCCCCACATCTGTCTCTGCAGGGGTGGAGGGGACATGCCCGAGGAAGGGCCATGCCTTGCCGCCCTGCTGTCCCCAGACGGAGTCCCGCCATCTACTCCCTGGCCACCAGGACACCTTCATCCCGAGGACCGCCTGCCTTCTACTTGAGCTAGTCTCTTTCTTACAAGAAATTCTGCGGAATGGCCACCAGCAGTCCGATGACAAGAGGTGATACATACTCGCAGAAGATTTGGAAATGACTACAAGTCCATGGACATACCACCCTGAGTGCGCCCATCTCGTCTGGAAATGACTACAAATGAACAAGCAACACGACATACGATTCGACTACCCAGAGAAAACTGTCACTTTCTGACTTATCTTCCCTTAGTAAGTGACAGCCAAGACACCACGGCAGGTGGGCACACAGCACCACATTTAGCCTGGCCATGTCTGGCCCTGCTGTGTAGGCGAGAGACAGAGGCCCTGGAGGGACAGGGCGTCCAGCCAGGTGTCCCTGGCAACTTCTGCGTGCACAGGCCAGGACACGGCTGTCTTACAAAAATAGTATCTCTGCTGGTTCCAGTCCTGGCTGCTCCACTTCCCATCCAGCTCCCTACTTGTGGCCCAGAGGAGGACAGCCCAAAGCCTTGGGATCCTACACCCACGTGGGAGACTCAGAGGAAGCTCCTGGCTTCTGGCTTTAGATCAGCTCAGCTGTTGCGGCCATTAGGGGAGTGAGCCAGTGGATGGAAGACCTCCCTCTCTGCAATTCTGCTTTTCTTTCTTTCTTTTTTAAAAAAGATTTATTTTTATTTTCATTGGAAAGGCAGATTTAGAAAGACAGAGGAAAAGATTTTCCATCTTCTGGTTTACTCCCCAAATGATGCAATGGCCAGAGTCAAGCTGATCCAAAACCAGGAGCTTAGAGCTTCTTCCGGGTCTCCCACATGCATACAGCATCCCGAGGACATGGGCCACCATCTGCTGCCTTTCCAGGCCATAGGCAGGGAACTAGACAGGAAGTAGAGCAGCCGGGACATGAATTGGTGCATATAAGGGATGCCACGCTTGGACGCAGAGGATTAGCCAGCTAAGCCATTGACCTGGCCCCTGAAATTCTGCCTCTCAAATAAAAATCTTTAAAACAAACAAACAAAAATCTGTAACTCTCAACCCATAGGGTTGAGATTATTCAAAAGCGAACATAAGGGTCCGGCACGATAGCATAGTTGTTAAAGTCCTTGCCTTGCACACGCTGGGATCCCATGTGAGCACCAGTTCTAATCCCGGTGGCCCTGCTTCCCATCTAGCTCCCTGCCTGTGGCCTGGGAAAGCAGTCGAGGACGGCCCAAAGCCTTGGGACCCTGCACCTGTGTAGGAGACCCAGAAGAAGCTCCTGGGTCCTGGCTTTGGATTGGCTCGGCTCCAGCCATTGCAGCCGCTTGGGGAGTGAATCATCAAATAGAAGATCTTCTCTGTCTCTCCTCCTCTCTGTATATCTGCCTTTCCAATAAAAATAAATAAATCTTTCAAAAAAAAAAAAAAAAGAGAGAGAGAACTTAAAAAAAAAAAACCCACATACACACAGCAAAAAACCACCAAAGCTGGGCAAACATGGGGCCCTTCCGAGCCAGGCTTCTGCCATCTGCCAGGCTCTCCCATGACTCCCTCTGTGTCCCTGCCTGAGGGTTTCAAAAGATGGTGCCCCCTGGGCACACGGGCGCTGCAAGGGAGCCTTACCTGGAGGCAGGCCCACAGGTTGGGTCCAGTGACGCCGCATGACTGGCAGGTTCCCTGGAGACAGAGAGCGAGCGTGAGGGACACAGGGCAGATGCTGACGCTCCAGCCAGCTGACGCCACTCCCCCCGCGGCTCCCGTGCCACCCTGCCCATCTGAAGCAGCTGCCAGGGGAACTGTACTGTACCCAACACTGAATTTTCTACACACTTGTATCTGTCGAAACACTGCAAATAACACTTGAAATGCCAACCAACAGACCCTTCCTAGACCCTCTCACCGCTCCCTCCGCTTTTCCTTAAAAAAAAAAAAATTCATGTATTTATCTGAATGGTCGACAGAGTGAGGAACACGCAGATCTGCATGTGTCGTTTTGCTCCCCAAATGGCCACAGCAGCGGGGGCTGGATCATTCGGAAGTCAAGCGCCTAGAACCCCACGTGGGTCTCTCACGTGGGTGGCAGGGCCCCCGCTCAGGACAAAGGGAGGGGTCCTCCCCATGAGGACCAACTCTCATGTCCACATGGCAACCCATGATGCCACCGAGATGCGGAAGGCCAACGCCGTGTGCTGAAGTTGAAGGGGCACCAGGATCCACGCTACAGTGTGATGCAAGCCACGGAGCCCACTGCCCACCCCACCTGCAGAGCCGTGCTGGGGCACTGACAATAAGCTGGTGTCATAGGAATGGCAGGAAGGCCGGCGGCCAACGGGCTGACAGCACTGCGGCCCAGGGGGCTGAGGCGAAGCGGTCAGCCAGGCTCCTGGACACAGTTCTCTTCCACTGGCATCCTCTGAGAAAATGCCAAAGTTCTGGACACACAGGGCCCCTCTCCCCGCTGCTGCCCCAGGCCCCTGGCGGGCCTGCCCCTTTACCTTCGATTTCAGCAGCAAGTCCTCCTTGGTCACCTCGCCTATGGAGTCGAGGTGAGGGCAGGGAGTCTTGGAGTCCCCCATAGTGACCTGGACTCACCTCGGAGAAGACAAGGCAAGGTCACGCATGGCCCAGACTGGCAGGAGCAAGGAAGGTGTGGCAGGGGGCATGTGTGTAACTGCAAGCTCAGCCCTGACTCTGCAGAGACTCATGGAGAGGGGGCTGCATGGAGAGGCCTGTGGCAGAAGCTGACTTGGGGCTCCCTAGAGCCCTCTGCCACCCCTCTTCCAGACCCCCGTAAGCACCTGACCTCAAGGGTGGGCAGGGTAGGCAGCCTCTGCAGGGTGTCCCCTGGGGGCAGGGACCCAGCTGGGGAGGGCAGCTCTGGCGTCTGTGTGAAGGCTCCATGCCCACTAGCGAGCGAGAACTCTGATGACACAGCAAGTGGGAAGCGGAACGGGAAATTCTGCTGTGGGAGCTGCAGGCTTCACTTGTAGGAGCCTCTTGGTGCTGAACTGCTCCACAGAGCGGAGGTGTGCGGACACACACACACGCCACGGAGTACCCACGAACCGGTGGGGGCTGGGACACTCCCATGGTTACAGACTTCTCACAGACAGACCACCACCAGGGGGAGAACTGTACCAAGGACCCACGGAACCGACCCTCCGTGCTCACTTCAACAGCATTCACTCAGACATCACTGAGTAACTGGGGGGCTGCCCGGCATCCCAGCTGCTCATCTGAGGTCCCCTCTGCTGCTGCCCACAGGGGTCTGTGGAGCTCAGGGTGGTCTCAGTGAAGCCAGGGCCCACACCCTCCGGGACAGCCGGGGGATGAAAGGCCCACACGCCAGGGGCTGGTGCACGGTGGGCAGCAACCTGAGTGTCTCCACCAAACCTCCCATGGGAGTGTCTGCGGGGCGGCCAGCGTTGGCCCCACTGCATGGATCAGGGAACCTGGCTTGCCAACAGGCATGGGTGCGTGCATGACTGCTGCCACCCTGGAGCTCTCGGTCCGGCCTGGCAGAGCTGCCTAACTCACCCACATACCTGGCATCATCAGCTGGCACGCAAGGCCAACCTCGTCCCCTTTCCATCCCCTACTTCCTCCCACTTGGGCAGCAGATGCCAGCTACGCATGAAATCACGTTTTCCTTGTGCCTGCGCTTTTTCCCTCAGTGTTAAGACTTGGAAAAACTACCACCCACAGCCATAGTTGCTCCCATTTACCTGCCCCACCGCCCCCCCAGGTCTGCGCTGTAAGCCTGCAGAAGGGGCCTACCTCTAGGCACGGCGAAGCCCCCAGCCAGCAATCACATGCTCCCGGGACGGCGGGCAGTGTGGGCTGTGCTGGTCTGCAGAGATGGCAGGTGTCGGGCGAGGGATCTGGGAGCATGAACAAATGCGTTACATGGAGTTCTTACCTAGCAGTCACTCAAGCTAAAGAACAGCCCAGAACTCCCTGTCGCAGGGACAAGCGACTCTGGGGCTACTGGGGATGGCCACCAGCAGGCTGCTCGTCTGCCTGTCCCCTAAACAGGCCCAGTGACCTCACTGACTGCTCCTGGGACAGCTAAGGCGGCTCAGGCCCTCCCGAGTTCTGGGGTGCTGGCCCTTCAGCAGCCATTGCTTGGCAGGACCTCTGGGATCGCCCACATGGAAGACCTTCCAGAAGGGGCTGTGGGGCCTCCCTTGGGCTGCCACAGCCTGGCTCCTCCCACGCATGTTCCCACGTCCCCTCAGATCATCCCCAGAGCCTCTCCCAGACCCTGTGATGCTCAGAACCCGTGGCCCCGAGTCTTCAGCAACGATGGAAGGCTATTGACACTGTGGAGTTCACCAACTTGTCACCACTGGCCTGAGTGGGGAGTGCAAAGAGGGAGAGGCAGTCAGAAGCTAACGTTTAAGAGCCACATGACAATGACAGGGTTCAGGGTTCTAAGTTCCAACCCTTCTTACATCAGCCCTTGGGAACAGCAGGTTTCTGGGGCTTTGTTTTATTCTTTCTGCAGAGGTCCAAGGCCCTGGGTTGGCATCCATCCTATACTATTTCTTTTTTTGTTTTGTTTTCAAAAGATGTATTTATTTTTATTGGAAAGGCAGATACACAGAGAAGAGAAGAGACAGAGAGAAAGATCTTCCATCCAATGAATAACTCCCCAAGTGAGTGCAACAGCTGGCTGGAGCTGAGCCAATCCAAAGCCAGGAACCAGGAGCCCCTTCCTGGTCTCCCAGGTGGGTGCAGGGTCCCAAGGCTTTGGGCTGTCCTCGACTGCTTTCCCAGGCCACAGGCAGGGAGCTGGATGGGAAGTGGGGCTGCAGGGATTAGAACTGGTGTCCATATGGGATCCCAGTGCATTCAAGGCAAAGACTTTAGCTACTACACTATCATGCCGGGCCCCCATCCTATACTATTTCAAGCTGCACAGTGTGGATGGTGGTTTTTTTGTTTGTTTTAAGTTTATTTTTATTGGAAATAAAAGAAGCGGAGAGATAGAGAGAAAGATGGTTCATCTGCTTGCTCACTCCCCCAGCAGCCGCAATGTCCAGAGCTGAGCCCAAGAGCTTCTTCTGGGTCTCCCATATGGGTGCAGGATTCCAAAACTTTAGGCTGTCCTTGACTGCTTTAATCGTCTATAAGCAGGGAGCTGGAAGGGAAGTGGGGCAGTTGGGACATGAACTGGCAGCCATGGGGGATCCTGGTGCTTGCAAGACAGGGAATCAGCCAACTGAGTTAGGGTGCCAGGCCGTGATGCACTGCTCTTAGCATCTTTGGGATGTGGAAGACTGGGTATGGTGGAAGCCAGCTGTGACCTTGGCACCTAGGAGGAGGATCATGGCGAAAGGCCAATTTATTCCCCCAAGACTTAATTATTTGAAAGGCAAAGTTGCAAAGGGAGAGGTGGAGAGAAGAACCTTACATCCACTGGTTTATTCCCCAAATGACTGCAACAGCCAGGGCTGGCGAGGCTGAGGCCACAAGCCAGGAACTTCATCTGGTTCTCCTTTGTGGGTGGCAAGGCCCCAGGTGCTGGGCCTTCTTCTGCCACTGTTCCAGGCACAGGGGTAAGAAGTTGGCGCAGAGTTGGAGCTCCTGGCACCCACACAGCATGCTGGCACTGCAGATAGCAGCTTAACCCACAGCACCTCAGCACCAGACCCAACAGGGCCACTCCAGATTCCTGAGGGTGACTGAGCTTGAATTTCTGTGCCTCTCAGCCCCCAGTATGCTGCACTCCCTCACCCTCCTTGTCTGTTGGAAGACAGAACTGGCGCTTGAGTGACCAGGCTAAGTTCAAACTCCCTGGGAGACTGGTGTAGGGGACCAGGCTTGGTCTAGGTTGCCCAACAGCCTTTTCCAAAGGACCAGGTGGCAAAGGATTAGGTTTGTGGGACCGAATAACGTTGTCACATACTCTTTTTGGGGGGCACTAATCCTTTTAAAATTGTCTCTAACAATATTTAATCTGGGGGTTGGCACTGTAGCCTAGTGGCTAAGTCCTCACCTTGCATCTGCCTGGATCCCATATGGGCGCTGGTTAGTATCGCAGCTGCCCTGCTTCCCATCCAGCTCCCTGCCTGTGGCCTGGGAAAGCAGTCGAGGACGGCCCAAAGCCTTGGGACCCTGCACCTGCGTGGGAGACCCTGAAGAAATTCCTGGCTCTGGATCAGCTCAGCATGGGCTATTGTGGCCTCTTGGGGAGTGAGTCAGCAGATGAAAGATCTTTCTTCCTCCCCTTCTCTATGAAAAACTGCCTTTCTAATAAAAACAAACAAATATTTGTTAAAAAGTTTGATTCACGAGCCAGCCGAACAACCCTGACTCAGTGCCTCAGTGTTCCTAGCTGTTATAAATCGCCAGGTCCTGCAGCGCTGCCCCGCCCCCGCCCCATGCCAGTCTGTAGCACCAACAGCTTCAATAATGCAAACTCAGAGAACCCACAGGAGGGCAAGTGACTCCACACATCCTAACCAGCGTGCCTGCAGAGCCAAACCCCGCAGGGTCACTGCGAGATCAGCTGACCGCAGCAGGCCACTGACTGCACGGACGACCCAACACACTGCCGCCCCCTACAGGGCGTTCCTGGAATGCAGCTCCAGCTCCCTGCTGCCGCATCGCAGAGGAGGCAGCAGGAGATCAGGACTGAGTTCCCAGCCCTGGCCCTGCCCATGTGGGTGCCAGGCAACCAGCTCTCTGGACCGCCGCCTACTGCCCCCCAGGGTGCATATCTAGTAGCAAGAAGTGGAGCCGGGGGTCAAGCCCAAGCATTGGAATACGGAATGCAGGTATCCACAGCGATACCTTAAATGCTTCAGCACATACCTGCCCCACAGCAGGCTTAAAAAATAAAAAATAATAGGGCCCAGCACGGTGGCCTAGCAGCTAAAGTCCTCCCCTTTAACACTCCAGGATCCCATATGGGCGCCGGTTCTAATCCTGGCAGCTCCACTTCCCATCCAGCTCCCTGCTTGTGGCCTGGGAAAGCAGTCGAGGACGGCCCAAAGCCTTGGGACCCTGCACCCACGTGGGAGACCTGGAGGAGGTTCCTGGCTCCTAGCTTCAGATTGGCACAGCACTGGCGTTGCGCTCACTTGGGAAGTGAATCATTGGACGGAAGTTCTTCCTCTCTGTATTTCTGACTTTCCAATAAAAAAAAATAATAAATCTTTTTTTTTAAAAAAAGACCTTCTCTCTCTGTTCTTCTGAATCTGCCTCTCAAGTAAAAGTAATAAAGCTTAACTAAAACAGTCATGCAGTAACACCCAGTCCCCTGGAGACCACAGCTGGAAGGACGCAATGCCAAGGCTGTGCCCACTGGGCGGGGGCAGGGTAAATGGGATTAGGAACTTTGGAAAGCAGCTGCTCGTGCTGCACCCGGGGCGGCAGCTGAAGCCTCTGAGTCGGTGGGAATGCAGAGTCCACACAGAGTTGTTTCAAGATGCACATTTGGATTTCATTTTTAACACCAAAAGCAATCTGTCTTTTACTTCCACTTTCCACGAATGCGTTGGCCTTGTAGGCATTTGTCCCGCAGACATGAAGACAGAATACCCGGAGTCTGGCACACTTTTTTCTTCTTGCAGACTTCCATGGCGGCCTTAGCCACAGGAGCCACAGGAAGCCTGAATCCACCACCCGCTCAGGCCAGGCTGACCTGGGCCCGGAAACAAGCCAGGGGCTCCACCCTCAGCGGGAGGAGTCTGTGTCTCAAGGGGCTCGGGGGGAGGAGAGGCACCAGTCTCCGCTCATTGCCCATTTCCCACAGGTCACTGCCTTCCATCCCAGAGCGGGTGGGCAGCGGCATGCTGTGATCAGGGTCCCTGAGCGGATGGAATGAGTGCAGCCACAGGGAGCACTGGGCTCAGGGACTTCCGGTGTCATGGCTTTTGGGGCACTGGGATTTCTTCTTTTTATTTTTTTTTTAAAGATTTATTTATTGGAAAGTCAGATACACAGAGAGGAGGAGAGTCAGAGAGGAAGATCTTTCGTCCAATGATTCACTCCCCAAGTGAGTGCAACGGCCGGTGTTGTGCTTATCTGAAGCCAGGAGCCAGGAACCTCTGCCGGGTCTCCCATACGGGTGCAGGGTCCCAAGGCTTTGGGCCATCCTCGACTGCTTTCCCAGGCCACAAACAGGGAGCTGGATGGGAAGCAGAGCTGCTGGGATTAGAACCGGCGCTCATATGGGATCCTGGGGCGTGCAAGGCGAGGACTTCAGACGCTAGGCCACCACGCCGGGCCTTGGGATTTCTTCTTGATCTGCCCAGCAGTCCCAGACAATGTGTGCTCCTGGCTGTGCTCTGAGGAGTCACAGGCCCATGGACCCACAGAAGGGTCCCCTCTGTCACATCTGTCCCTGGGGCCCCACCACGCAAAGGCGCCCCGCTGGGCAAGTCAGGCACACAGTAGCGCACGCGCACACAGTACCCTGGACTCTGGTGATGTCTGAAGACCCACGTCTGCCTACTGGAGGAGGACCAGCCCTTCGGCACTGTTCCTGAAGCAAGCACCTGCTCCCCAGCCCGGAAGAGCTGCCTCTCCGCCAAGGCTGCTGATCTGCTCCAGATACACCACGGCATGCAAAGCCGACACCCAGAGCGCTGGCAACTCACATGGGCACTTTTTTTCCCCATTTTTTATTACATTTTTTACAATCTTTACATAGTTAATTAGGGTAAAAAGGTACAAGGGGTATAGGAAAGTGGGTAAGACTATTATTTCCACATTTTTTTCATGTATCTGGGGTAAAGGGGGAGATAAAGGGAGAAGCCCCACCAGTCTCCCACCCACCCCAGGTCCCGGATGGGGGCATGCTCCGAGGGTCTTGCTCAAGTGGTTTTGATAGTTCAACAGTTATGAATCACTACCAATCTTGCCACTCCAA